AACCTCTTGACAACAATATAAAGAATATTGTTAGCTAGCGACCCAATAACGTTGGAAATTTCCATTGGCATTTTGGTTGTTGTTGGATGGTCTGGAATCCTATACACCTTAACTTCGCAGTGAAGTATGCAGCACAATAACAAATTCACAAAAATCCAATAAACGAAGAAAATGAAAACTTCTTTCGTCCCAAAATACTTTTCTAACGAACAAAATTATTATTTCTAAATGGTGAGAATAAATTATTTTGATGAGGTAGCAACAATATATTCTTTCTGGTCAATCAGGGTAGGGGACCTTCATGCATCAAAGGCAAAGAGAAAAAAATAAGAAAGAAAAGAAAAGAAAGAATACATTTGATGGATATGTGGTGAGTCTGGTGACATGGTCCAATACAACCTGTTCACACACACACACACACACAGAGCAGAGGATGCCGTTATCTTAGACTCTGAAATCTATGTGGGCCTCTCTCTATTTGGATCTGCATCCGTCCAATTAATACTGCTCCACACTAAAAAGACCGTAATAACGATAATTAATAAGCACACTGTATTAGACAGCTATTATTATCATCAGGAGATGTTGATTTAATTATTAATTAATAATCATGGAGTGGAGTGTATAATTTTGGAGGTTTTGAATGGATAAGAAAGCAATGGTTACTACTTACTACGAACTACAAAGTCTATCTACTTAGGCCTAACTGTCAAAGCCTCAAAACTCAAGGAACCGTGTCAATTTTCTCCTCAAAGCCCTTTGACTCCTATGTACATCGCCATTAACATTATTCAACTTTTTGGTTTAGTCAATACTTCCTCACAGTGCATTTTTCTCCTCCTATTCAGGAATGAACAGTTGTCCCTCAAATATATTGCAAACTCTTGATAATATCTGTATGCGTGGCACCAGAAGTTTGAGTAAAAAACTGTCTTTCCAGTGCGAGTTAATTTTGTGTCTTCTTTTATCGTATGCTACCTTAAAATAAGATACTAATTCTGTATAAGAGTTAATTAAGGTTGTTGAACTATCTTCGTCCCAAAATTACTGGGTAATAATTTAGGGACGGAAGAAATACTATTTTAGTTCGTGCATATAAATGTCTTATCTTGACAACTACTATTTAGAAAAAAAGAAAAATGTTTATGACTTATATGAGAACGATCAAATTGTCCAGGTAGTCCCATTTTTGTAGGTTGTGAGCAAATATTAATGACAAATCGACGACTACTAATTATAGCATTATTGAAACCAGGACCACAACCTACCACCATGAATTTATAGTTTGTGGATTCTTTCGTTTTCTTCTTCTTTTTTTTTTTTTTGGGAATATATATACAGCAACTAATCTAGAATTAGATTACTACAACTAGAACATGCATGCGATTGGAATTCGAAACTGCCCCCCCGGCAATAATGAACTGATAATGATAAACAAGACAATAGGGTTTGGGGTACTTGTAAATGGAACAAAACGCCCCAACCAAATTGCTGTACTCCAATTTCCCAAGACCTATATGGGCGTGACAAGTAGAGAAACCGCCCCCCATCTCGTTGGATACGTAGAACAAAGAGCAAATGATAAAAATGGGAGCCTTCTATAGTCACGTCAACTTGTACCACGATATATATGTAGTATAGAAAATTTACGTCCAACGTTTCAAATCAAGCTAGGGAATTGTCGACGTACTAGATACTTAAATCCTCGTATATGAGTTGTTAACCATAAGTATTTGATCTCAGTGAATAACGTATTGATATGTTGATTTGTTTTGTGTTCGAACTGATCTTCTCATCGTTATCTATATTCTTTTCCTTCCAAATAAATAGTATTCCCATTGTCTCAGAAAAATAGTGCATATTGAGTTTGAGATTGTAATTCACATTGAGTTTTGAAATTTGTATTTAAAACAATATAAATTTCAAAATTAAATGTAAACTATTTTTATGGGACAAAAGAGAAGCAAAACTGTGCTCATGGTTATATAAAATTGATACACGATCATCATCATGAAAGACCAAAAAAGAAAATAAGTAAAAGGTGTTAATAGAAGAGGCCGCGTATTCACTTTTGCTAAGGGTTGTCTCATGTCTGGACTGGGGTGGCTGTCAAAAAATGGTCCTAAGTGGAGAAGGGGTAGCACGTAGCAAAATATACGCATCGTAACAGAGGATCAGGAGAGGAAGAGAGGCCGGGGGAAGAAAGAAGGCGTGCATGGACTTTTCCCAATTTCTGGGACCCGCCAGATCAAAAATCAACCATCGATTTCTCATCACTCCAATCTTCCCTCGCGCAGCCCACAGGCCCACAACCCATATTTCAGATTATTGATGATTTTTTGTTCTAGAAGCGAAGTAGTTATACTCTTTCGACAAAAAAAAAAAAAAGTAGTTATATCCCTCCTTTTTGTTCCCCCAAATATTGAAAATGTACCGAGAAAAAGTAGTTAATGTGTTTTTTTTTTACCGTCCACTAATTGTGAGTTGTGAGCATGTGATTTCGTGTGTTTAGGGTTATCCCTTGTTGTAGATAACATTTGCTATTTTGTTCAATATATTTTTCCAAATAAAATGAGTAATTAAAAAAGGGTCAAATATCTGGAAAAAAAAAAAAGGTATTCAGTGTGGATGGAAAGTGTACTATAATTTCATTTTGGAATCATCACAATATATTTGATATACTTCTATATTAGTTTGTAGTGTGTACACACGTATGTACAGTAGATAGATACATTTAGATAGTACCCAACTCGCGTCGTAGATGTCAGAATGCGATGGTGACACGTGGGGGATAAATTTTGGGGTCCGGCCGGTGGGGAGGGCAGAAGCACCTCGCAGGTCAGGTGGAGAGGGACCATTTCCATGGAGAAAGAAGAGGAGGCCCAAATTAATTTTCACCAGTGGTCCCTTACACCCACATATTAAGCTCTCTAGAGTCTAGACTTTAATTTCGGCTGTGGACTCGTGAACAACGTCGACATCCTTTATAGTTTATTCCCTCCTAATTTTCAATTATTTTCCGTCTCAAAATAATATCGTCTTGTTTCTCGAATTAAAATACTATTTCTTCCTCATAAAAATAGGTTACATTAAATTTTTAAATTTGTATTAAAATTAATAAAAATTTTAAAATTTAATTTGAATTATTTTTTTGAGACAGAGATAGTAATAGTAAAAGAGTAAGTAGATGGATTATAGATAGCGCTTTAAACAGGACCAATCTATAGTTAAGTGTGGGATTCGTTAAAGAAAAGGAAAAAAAAAAAATGTAGACAAGAAACAAAAGCAATAGTACAGGAAAGAAGATGCCAACCATCAGGTTCAGGAAGAGGGAAGGAATTAAAAAGGTCCCCTCCTTCCGCCTGTCCTTAATGCCTGTCCTGGTTAATGCCTAGTGGGACGTTTGGACAGAATGGATCGATCATCATCCAGACCAGGAGGGGATCCATTGTCAATTAATATTGAAAGTCTCTTATAGATATAATATGTAGCTTACATAGTGGCGAATTATAATATTATTAATAATGCAGAAAAAAATGAGCATCGTTCACTATGTATGGTACCACTGAAATGGGCATGCATGATTATTGAAAACGAAACTTGCAACGTGTTTTAGCTTTGCATGCCTATTTTCGCGGAAAATTCTTTGGAAGGTTGAGGGAAAAACAAAATAGAATAAAATACTCCAATTGATCCAATTTATTATACTATTCTAATTTAACAAAGTAGATTAATTTTTCGAGATAGAAGAAATACTATTTTTGCTAGCTTAGTCGCAGAGATAGAATTGGAATCATGCAATTGCATGGTAAGATCATACGATGGAACAGTTCCATCCGTATGCCTTTTCCTTTCCAGGAATCCTATTACAATGTGTAAATCCCCCTCTGTGCACAACTTTACAAACCATATACGTTCATGTTTATGAGCTGTGGGAAATTTGAACCCGAATCCTCTTAAAAAAAGGAAGATAGTTTCCAGCCAGCCCACTATGCCGTTTCCACAATTGTCATATGTTGTTATTAGCATCTTTTCTTTTTTTCCCCCTGGATAAGACTATAAATAAACTAAATGTAGTTTATATCATCAATCATATTGTGGAAATATTGGAATGGGAAAGAAAAAGGTGTAGAATATTCTTCAGATATAATTGACTGGGGAATATTGCAATTGCTTTACTTTTCTAGTTAGGCGAATATTTTTTGGACTAGAAAATACGACCTAGAGAGAGTTGGAATTTTTTTTTTTTTTTTTTTTTAGCAGCTTAGATACCATTAACAATGGGAGTTGACAACGACTTTGAAAAGTCGTCACTCACTCAAAAAAAAAAAAAAAAGAAAATTTTCAAACACATGTCTTACAATTTTACACTTTTGATCTCCATCATTTTCTGTTATTATAGATCTCTTTGACTAATGGACCGACCTGAACTGGCCTAACTTTGAATAATTTAAAGGCCTAGCTTCTAAGATGGAGAAGAATACAGAATAATAATTGAATTACTATAGACAGGCAGCTGTTTTGCATGAACTGTTTTTGCTAAAAGTTATTATCATACCCTACATTTTTTGATTGATTGCTTCTATTAATCAGGAAATATTCATTCTACTTTCCCTTCATCACGACTTTTTTCCTAGTTTGGTAAAAGCTGCCAGATCTATTTTCTTAATCTAGATTAGTTTGACCAAGAGAGTTAGCCAACTTTATATTTCTCATTTCTTAGGTACTACTATCAGAGTAACCAGTACTATACGAATTAGAATTATTAAGTCATCATTTACTTATAAGTGTCAAAGTATAGAAGCACTTTGGGCGAATAATTAAGTCATCATTCACTCATATGTATCAAAGTATATAAATATTTTGGACTCCCATCTCAAAATCAATTGGAAATAAGTGTGGTGATCTTTAGAACTTATATGCTGAGTCACTTCTCTTTACGGTGGCGATGTGAGACAAATAATACACCTTAACAATAAGTTCACAATGAATCCCTAATTAAATTTTTGATAAGTTTAATATCATATCAAGAACCATATAGAAGTTGGTAGTAACATACGTGACTATTAATTTTGTCATTGTATCTATCATTTCATAAAAGTATGATAGGGGTATATGGACACTTCAAGAAGTTGTGAACTGTAAATCTTTATAGACCCTCTTCAACAAATTGGGTATACATATGGAGCTTTTGGCAAATAATCAGAAAGAAAGGCTATTCTTTGAGAGTGGGAGTTGAAATGTTGAATTCATTGTCCCAACATATATATGAAAAAAACACAGTAGGCTTGCTTAAAAACTCAAAGAGGAATCGACCAAATCGGAGTAATACTGAGAGAGCCAACTTTCAATGATCTTGACTTCTCTCATTCTAACGTCTTTTAGCCATTCTGGATCTTCGGTTGTTGAGAATCTAAGGTCCACATGGTGAGCACCTGGAAACCCAAAGCAAATTTCTCACTATTTATTGGACTAAGGTCATCCATTTATGAAAAGGCCCAACCAAAATTACTGGACGCCCAATAAATTTTCTGTGTAAAAGTAGTAGTTGAATTTGTTGAACTAAATAATTCAAAAGTGACCAAAACCAGGCAACAAGAACAAACCTTCTTTTGCAACAATCGCGATAATGCTATTTGAGATACTCTCTAAGACCCTGTGAAAAGAAAGTAAACAACAAAGAATTAGGATCACCGGATTACCCTTCACTAACGAGGAAATTCAGTATACTTACCCTCCGCCACTCCATGGATCCCTCAGGCCATTAAAGAAAATCATATTGCTCCCGAAACGCTTCAAAACCCTGTGTATATTCTGTATAGGGGGGGGGGGCAAGACACATTATACACATACGTAAATGCAAGAAAAATGGCATGCACAATATGGCAAGTGAAGTGAGCAACTTTTAGCATCTTAGTAAATGACTTATATGGGTTGGGCCGTTGGGTACTCACGTGGCCTCCATATTCAGTAGTGATCCAACTAGGTCTGGGCTCGACACCGTAGCTGGCCTTGCACGATTGGGCTCGGTCTGTGTAACTATAGTTGTAGGCGGGAAAAATGCTTTTGTCACTGTTGCCCGACATTGGAAGTATCATCTCAGTGCATGCCTGTAAGATTCAAAAAATTGTTCCCACCTGATTAATTAATTGCCTAATCGAAAAGTAAGAGTTAAATAAAATAATGTCGAATTGATAATTACTCCTCCTTGCTTAAAGATAATTTTCCTGTTTATTGTCATTTTAGGATGGAAGAATTACCTGCCATTGCCATTCAGCTAGGCCGTGGGGATCGGAATCGTCATTGAGATCGAAACAGGTGACATTCCCTGTGTAGTTGAAGTAGATGTTTGCTGCACCGTACAGCTTTTGAAAGGTGTTGTTTCCTGCTTTTGGATCGTCTATTGCCTTGCACATCTGGAAACATTTGTCATTTTCATAATCAATATTGTTTAAAAATACATTCAATCACATGGCCTACAATTTTAATTAAATTAATTAGCTGAAAACGTCTCAATTTGATGTCCGTTTATTACCATATATGAACTAACTACCGAACAACCTCTTTCTTGGAAGAATTGTTATGGACTTTTTGTTGCATTTTCTTGTTGAGTTGCTCAATATATACTAGATACCAAAGGCAACCCAAAAAAAAAAAAAAATACTACTCCCTCTATTCAAAAAAAAAAAAAAAGTCCGCATTGAGTTTTCAGATTTGTAAATCTGAAATCTTAATGCGAATTAGTTTTTTGAACGAAAGGAGGATTACTGTATTATACGTTGTAAATATCTATATAAAAATCGGTTGAAAAGTGACTCAATTATAAGATAAAAGAGGGTAACTTGTAAACGTAATGACATGGCTTGTCGATAACCTGCTTGACTGGATATGCTGGCATAGGCTGAAGAAAGTTTGATGGAGTTGGATAATCCGTCATGGCCGTATAAATGTAAGCTTCTGATAGCCAACCTTCCAGACTATCTACATCCATGGAGTTCCTGTAAAAAACGAACTCACATTATGTGCCGGTTTACATTAGTTTGGGATTTGGTTTAAGGAATTTGTCGTTTCTTACTCGCATATTCTGAAGGACTTGCTGAGTAATTCCAGCCCGCCTGTTCGTTTCGCCGTGTCTTCTATTTCTTGCCACGATCCTTTTATCACTTTGTAGCAGTTCTCGCTTTCACTCTGCGCTCACATGGGATTAGGACAACAACATAACACTATTCATTTAACAATGTTGTTATAACAGTATATTTCATTTTCCTGTAAAAACAAAGTGATGCTAACAAGACATCTAAACCTCACTGGTTGGACAGGAAAAAGAATGTGTCTTTTTTTGTCAGATACATTGTCCCATTTATACGACTTAGTTGTACAGTGTCAGATAAAAAAAGAAGAAGAAAAGAGTGAGATGTGATTACCCTGAAATCCTTGGCCACAGTGTCGTAGAAGCTGTATTGAGATGTTATGTTTTCGAAGTACAGGATTGGTGCAGATGATGCCAGTGCTCCTATTGCAACGTGGGGATACTTTAGCCTAAACCAGGCTGCCAACACTGTGGTGGAACCAAAAAAACACAAAACAATCCAAAATATGACCAAACTTGGTTTAGTTTAGGTAAACCCAGAAGATAATTTTGTCAAGATTCTGAAACCCAACTACTAACCAGTTTAAAAATCCCATCAAATATCTCACTCAGTTAGGTCATATGTGGTTAATAATTTATCAAACAATCTTTACAGCCGAAAAAAAGAGATAAAAGACATCTTGAAATGTACTTACTTCCTCCATATGATCCTCCAAAGACAACCACCGGAGAGTCATTTGCTGTCAGATTGTTTTTCAGATCAATGATCAGAGTTGCATAGTCGGCCAACGCCTGTGTTGAAGTCAAATAGCCTAGAGTGCTGGAGTTTGCGTATGCCACCTTCTTATCACCTCCGAACGGAATCGACTTTCCATAGAATCTATGCTGTCATTATACAATGATAATATTTCAGAAATTCCAATCAGATTATCTAAACAAAATTGTAGAACACATGCATGAGTAACATAATTGAAACCGAACACTCTGTTTTTTATTTTCTACAGAAAACAGAAGAGTTGGACTAACTTTTTTTTTTTTTTTAACTTACCTCGATGAATACTAGAAGAGCTTTAAAATGAGGGGCCTGTTCGAACATGAACCCTGTGTTTTGTGTGAACCATTCGATGTCTCCTTCATTGCCGGTGTAAACAAAGATGGGAGCATTCTGCTTAGCACCACCCCAGTACTTGTAAGATATCAAATATCTCTGTTGAAAAGTCTGATAACTCTGTGGCGTGAAAGTGAAGTGATCGAGAATTTGAGTATGGAATTTGGTTTCGTAAAGTTGGGTTTTAGCTTTAGCTTTGATGGAGTCGGATGTGATTTCCGGTCGGACACGGATGTTTTGGTAACGAGGAAATGTAGGATGAATCCTGGGAAAACAGAAAACAGAGGAATGGAGAAGGAAGAAAATTACTGTTGAGAACAGCAGCCTAATGAAAATTCCCATTTTCTATGATGGATCTTTCGATGTTTAATGCTTGTTAGTCTTAGTGTGTGAGTGTGTGTATGTTTTTGTTTTTGTGTGTGGTGAGAAAGAAATGGTTTTTTTTTTTTTTTTTTCTAAATTCAAAGTAAGCCAATTGAACTTGGTAGTCTTCGAGGAGGATGGGCTGAAAGTGACGACGGAGGGACCGAAAAAATTGATTTGTCTAATTTCTTGTTACTTTGTGCATCGTTTAAAATAAAGCAGAATAGGGACCGAATCGCCACTGAGGTGACAACCACTCATATTTTAATTATTTGATTTGTTTTTTAGTTAGATAATAGTAATAAACTAGTTATGATTTGTTGTATATTTTGGATCTGTACTTGATTACAGTATGAAATGTTGACTGAAAAAAATAATGATGGAAGAAAATAACACAAAAGAGAGATCCAACCAAAGATAATATTCTCATTTGGTATGTCATATCGGAAAAAAGATTTTGGATGACTTTGTGACTGGATTAATCATAAACGGGAAAGAATATACAAACAAAATTCATATCCACGTGATGTAATAAACTAATATACAATTTTTTTTTTAATTAATATTTTCGGGTTTCGCCTTCTTCAACATAAACAAAAAAAAAAAAAAGTTTAACGGAAGGACAAATTGCATATGCTGCAAGGTTGCATAACTAGTTAATCTTGGAGAATGGAGGCTTGTTTGGATTCAAAAGAAGTTGATCAATAGAAAGTTTTACCTTATGAAAAGGCGCAATCTAGGTTATAAAATAGAATCTAAAGAAAGAACAAATGATACAAAATTAAGTGAACAGTACAAAATGAGGTAAAAAAAATACTGGGGTAAAAATTTAGTAGCTAATTTTTTTTTTTTTTTTTGGTAAAGAAGTAAATTCTATTAAACCAAAATTTCCAACGTCTTTACAACCCTTTCATATTTACAGTTATACTCTAGGCAACAAAATTCCCAAACTGGCTAAGTAACTTAACTCTACTGGTCTACATTTCTTACAAGAAAAGTGTATCTTCCAAGTAACCTCTTGCTGAATCATTCTAATTCTCTCATTCACACCTAAACTCCTCTGCTAAAACTTCCTGACGTTTCGTTCCGCCCACAGATGATAGATGGAAGAGGTTATGATTGCAAACAGAACTCTTCTCTTTACTTTTTGAAATTTCCACACTTGCAACAATCTATTCATTGCTGATCTCAGAACCTGTATACCCAAAGAAAGCCCCAACCAGTTCAATATTCCTTGAATGACTTCCTGAGAGTAAATACATTTAAAGAAAAGATGATTTGTTGATTCCTCCTGCTCTCCACAAAGCTCACATTGTTATATTCCCTGCAAAAGATTGAGCTGCCTTAGTCAGTCTTGGGTTGACAGTCTGTTTTTCAGTGTAAGCCACGAGATAAAACTGTGCTTAGAGATGTTGTAAGGACTCCATACAAGACAAGCTTCTTTCCATCTGCTAACAAGTCCTTTGAGCCAAGCGTAACCCTCCTTTTGCTGAGTATTGCTTCCTTCTTTGTCCTTGCCATAATCCTTGCTGTACACCTGACTTCAACTTTTCTTTTACCTTCATCAGCTTCTTCCAGTGCCAGCCACAATCTTGCGGAGGCTATTAATACTATTATAATTTAATTTCTTTGAGCTTAAATATAAGAAGAATATTTTACTTGAATTTTTCGCATAATTTTGTCTATTAAATTTCAATATTTTTTAATAAGATGGATATTATAGTAGTTGAATTCGAATATAAGAAGAATGTATTACTTTGATTTTTTGGTAATTTTACCCATGAAGTTTTAACCTTTTTTTGGCATAAGAGTGATTTAATTTGAATGTAAAAGATATATTTCGTTTGGATTTTTTTGTAATATTACTTGTACGTCGTTTTTTATTTTTTTAATAAAATATTAAATTAGAGAATAATTCATAATTAAAGTTTCTCTATCCGATAATAGAATGAACTGATTTTTATATATATTTGTAACATGAACCTGCTTTTATGTATATGGTTAAATTTTATTTTTTATTAAACAATACGACGTAGTTTTGATTTAAGGTGTTTTGGAAGGAAACTTTTAATCACAACGCGACACCTCATTATTTATCTTATCTTGGACTTCTCTTTTAATAGAATATATTGATTACTCTCTCTGTCGAAAAATTATTGTCCAGTTTGAGATTTCACTTTTAATACAATTTGAACTAAAAATGAAAATCTAAACCGAATAATGATTTTGGAACGGAGGGAGTATAAAACATTTTGATTTTTCATAAGTTTCATTTATCATATTCTTCCAATTGAAAATAAACTCTTAAACATTCTTTATAATAATTGGGAGAGAATACAATAAATATGAAAATATATTTTTAAAATTTTATTTTAATTAAAAAAATGTAAATAAAACTTAGAAAAAATCTAAACACCTTATAATAAAGACCAGAGAGACTAGTTATTAGTACAATAATAAAAAAAATAGAAATTAAATTTATAAAATCACAATACTGTCGACATTTACGTCGGATTTGGTAAACCGACAAATAGGTCGACGAAAAAATTTTATTTTAAAAATAATTGTGGTGAAGTTCGCCTCGCCTTCGAAAACACAAGATATTTAATAATTATTTTAGAAAACACAAGATAATTTTATTTTAGAAAACACAAGATATTTAATATCATCACACGGAAAATCATATTTAAAATTTTTCAATAAGTTTTTACTCGCGTCAATTTTTTAGTTGAGCTTACTGATTTTCTTCTAGCGCAGGAGTCTCACGTTAGGTGTAACTATGTAAAGCATTTTGCTTTAGCCCATTGATAATGAAAAATTTACGTTGCCCAGATAAATAGTCAAATTTATTTTGGTTAAAGTTCTAGACTTACTCCCTCAATGCTGAAAAGGTTTTGCTCGTATTCAAAGATTACAGAGAGATACAGTAATATTAATCAAGTTGTCACTCAACTTAATATCACGCTTGACTTGAGAGCTAAAATCAAAAGCTTCTGTACAGAAAGAAGTTACACTCGAGAGTTAAAAACATTTTCTGCAAAAAAGAATTACTCGTAAATACGGATCACATGATTAACAGGATGTTACACCTTCAGTTATATCACCCCTATCAACCCGTGAATAAAACCTTTGCAAACGTTAGTTCGGTAAAACTATGAACTCATTAATGTCTTGATCTTCTTGAAGACTGGCTGTCTCCAACTCTGCTTTCACCAAGCCTAGACTTCGAACCATTACCTTGAGCAAAACTAGCTCTTTCTTGGATACCACTGTAAGGATCTCGTGGTGATGACCATGGCTGCTCCACCTCCCTGGTCGGGCTCATATAATCTCTCCCTGATCCTGTCCGAGCATTGGCTAAAAGACGTTCCCTTAGACCCTTCACGGCTTTGTATCTTTGCGACTCATCAGCTGAACTCTTTCTCTGACCTAGCTTTTCAAGTTCCATGACTGTCTCCCTATCTAGCCCTTCCGCTCTGTTCTGAACACTTCTACCTTGTGTTCCCCATTCAACTGTATCAGAAGTGCTTCTTTGCAATGACGAGCTCCTTCCAGGGATCTGCCCCGAATAAGAATTCCTGCCCTTCACTTGATCATCAACAGATATCCTCCTGAAATTAGGACCCATAGTAGATCCATGAGCCCACTTGTAGCCCTTGCTGTGGTTATTAACGCTTAATTCTATGGGATGAATTTCACTCTCTCCCGAGTCTTCTTCACCATCCACGGCATCTTCAACTTCTCCACCATCATCTTTTTCTTCATCCTGATGGGAACTGTACTGAGACTTACTTAAACATGCAGCTACTTCTTCATCGCTGCCTAAATTACGAGACTTGCTTCTCTTTTCTTTACTTCGTTTTTTCCCAAGAAAAGCCTCAATCTGTCTTCTCAGCTTGTCAACAGCTGTGTGTTTTTCCTGGAAATGATGTTTAGCACCCGAGAGTTTCATCTGCGCCCTCTCTTCATGTACCATGTCAGCTAAATGGAGCATTTCTCTTTCCTTTTCAACCTCTTCGCGGACCCTTTCTGTATCCCTCTTTAGATCTTCTGCTTCAGCTTTATCCTCACCAGCATCCCTAGCCAACTCATCACAAACTTGCTCCATTACCTCTCTTGTTCTTCTCTCACTTTCAAGTTCTTTGACTGCTTTCAAAAATGATGCTTTCGTTTCTGCTAGCTCCAGTCCTAGTTTTTTGTTCAAGCTTTCAAATCGCCTCCTTAGCTTCCTCTCTACCTCAAGTTCACCTGCTATGTTATCAACTGCAGTCTCAACAGCTTGTCGCTCTTTGGTTTTCCATGCAGCTTTCTCTTCAGCAAAACACTTCATTATGTAACTAATCTCATTTTGATCTGTACGCTGTTCATGGATAAGCTGATTGACTTGTAGCCGAGCTCTCTCAAGCTCAGCATGTAATGCAGAGACGAGAGACATGCTAGAAGAAGGTTGATCAGCATTTGCCCAAATACGGTTGATAATTTTGAGCAACTCTTTTGATGTGGTCAATGCATTACTCACATCCTTCAGACGGTTCCTTGCACCAACTACTGATCCACTGGGTGTTTGAGCTCGAGATCTATTCTCAATCTGTAATAAATTGTACCCATTTTCAATAACTCCATGTCATGTCAAAAATATGTATACAGAGAAAGTCCAAAAGCATCCTTTTTGGGGGAAAGAAACACACATTTAAGCTTCTCCAATAAACTGAAGAAATCAAACCAATATTCATAAACATCATTTACAAACAAAATCATCATCGAATCATAGATTACATCACTACTGAGAAGTCGAAATGAAACAGCTTAATGATAGATGGCAGAAATAGCAACAGAAAAAAGAAGAGATCAACACCTCCATTAAACTGGCAGTGCTAACAGAGTCAAAACCTCCAACATTATGGTCTATTGGGCGAAGCCTCTGAGACATTGTTGATGACCTCTTTTGGTAACTACCCGTTCCAGATCGGTCCATCCTCTATGCATTCAAAAGATTTCTCATTAGTTGTACAAGTGATACAAATTATTAAGATCATAAACTACAACTAGAAAGAATACGAGTAAAATGTAAACAATGATTAGTGTTCTGCATAAACAAAAAAAAAAAGCCAATACTGAAGGAAGGAACATGGATAATTGCAGTAAGCTCATCTTTTCAATAGAAAATAATGCATTATGATTTCATTTTGGTGATAATAAAGATCTGACACCAACAAATATATACCTCAAAAAACTTCACAATTAAAGCTCAGAATACCTCTCTTTTCTCTAATTTAAGTAACATTATGCCTAGAGAGTTCATGATTTGCATTCCATCCAAATTAATACTATATCTCAAACAACTAAGTATTAGTCAAGGAAGGATAGAGAAACATCAAGTGTCGTTGTCTTCCACTTCCATTATCATCCTGGTAGCTATTTTTACCAACTTAAACCAGTCCACATCAACAAAATGTCAAATTCTACTTAGTTTAAGCAGCAATATATTCAAAATCAAAAGTGTAGAAACGGATGACGAACGCAAACAAACAACCTTAAAATACCATAAAAATAATTAACATCCAACCTCAGAAACAGGACTATGAGAAGGATCAGACAAATGAGGTGGCACAGAGGAGCGTAATTTCTCTTTCTTCAGCATCATAGCCAACTTCTTATTCCTTCTTTTCTCACTCTCATCCAAATTCTCACTCAATTTGGGTGATGGCATCTCATTCATCTCCCAAAGGGTGGCGGCCAGCCTTCTGGCGGAGAGTGGCCGGGACCTCCCGCCGCCATTACTTTTCTGGGAATACTTGGGAGAATCGATGGCGCTCTTGAGGGGTGTGATTCTCCAGGTGGGAACCGGAGTGCTGGATCTGGACCCTCCAAGACTGACAATTCCCCGGGCCTTCTTGCCCACCGAAATAGCCCGCTTGAAACGGTAATTCTGGACCTTGGACGACGAAGATGATGATGTTGAACAGCCCCTTTTGCGGATCTTGGGAGCAAAATCGTCCCTTTCCATAATCCCTCGATTCTGCTGCTTGAGCATTATCACTCACCCTCTGTTTCTTATTTCCTTTTTCTCTAAACCCCTCTTTGATGTTTCAACTATTCACTCAATTTTCGACTTGATCCGTCGGTTCAAAACAAATACAGCTGAAATCATCAACAATGTAACAAAATATAAACTGAGATAACAGGGAAGGATTTTCGGAACCAAGATTGAAAGTAAAGAAAAACCGATACTTCGCTTGCATCAGATTGCTTTCCTTAAAGTTACCATTTTTAAGCGCCTAAACTCAATCTTCTGATCCCTAAGTCTGATTTGAGGAAATGGGTAAGATTTTTTCCCCTTCCAGGTATAATGATCCAAGACTCCAATTCAATTTTTGGTTAAAAAAAGAAGTCAAGAACGGTGGTAGAGCAGTAGAAGGTTCGAAAAAGGAAAGAAAATGATTTTGGAATGGAATGGGAAGAAAAATTGTAGCAGCAGCAACTTTTAATGGTTTTGTTTTGATAAAATACAACGTTTGACTCTGTGGACTCTCATTACTGAACACCGAAAATTAAGTACTCCAAAGATTAAAAATGTAACTAACCTTTACATAGATACGTATTAAGGATCGGCATGATAATCTTGATGATGTTGGTGGAGGGGAGAGATGATGATGACGATGATGCTGATGGGAAGAATTATGAGTGAACTTGTGTGTGTGAGTTGTGAGGAAAAGCAAGGGGGAAAACGGAGAAAAGAAAGTGTATATCAGTAAAGGGGAAGTTCGAAAATGGCATGTGAAGCTACAGCCGTGGCAGTCAATTATTGGTTCTGGTTGCTGCCTCGAATGTCTGAACGGGTTTTTTTTATAAAAAAACTTTTCTTTATTTATTAAAGAACTATTATCTGTCATTTAAATCGATCATTCTTCAGTGTTTGACTAGTTTGACTCAGGTTAGTGTCCGATCTGCCCCCTTCTGTATTGCTTTCTGCTCTACATTTTCTTTTTTTTTTTTCTTTTTTTCCCTCCTTTGACGGCTTTGAATTTGTTGGGAAGCTTTGATTGGAGATGTCCGGTACACAAGTGAAGGGATAGAGTTAAATCTCTTTCAGTGAGCATAGAAATCTGTCTTTCCTGATTTTGGGCCCTCTGGAAAAAAGATGTACTGTAATATTCACTTTCAATGTGCAATTATGTACTGTTGTGCCAATATAGTAGTAGCTCAAATCAAGTTTTATTCATAGAAATCTGTCTTTTTGCAATCAAGCAAACCAAGTTTTATTCATTTCGATGACTTTCAATTTCAAAATACGAAAATAAAACCAAAACAAAAACACTAACCAGGTCATTCATGTTGATAGGTTTTAGTGGTTCGCACTTCACAATTTAAAGGGCCGGTAACATCTGAAAATTATGGGACAACACAAAGAACTGATAGGTTTTGTTTCACTAATCTTCATGATTTGGGCTTTCAAACATAAACTAAGCATCGTTGCAAATGGGCCGATCAGCCATTGTAAGATTTGGGTCGAGCTATGAAAACTGCGATGGGTTCAAACTGATTCAACCCATTCCATTTTATGGATGTCCAACAATACTGGTGGTGTTGAAGAGCTAAAATACTCGCCCCAAAACTGATGAAAGAGAACACAGTATACAAGTTCTATAGAGATCATCAACTACGAAATAAGTTGATCATGTAGAAATGTTAGATGACATTAGACTGTGAAGATGGACTTCTCCAAGAAGAAGCGATCTGGCGCGATTAATTGCAGCAAAGCAGAGACACAAGTGCTCATCAAGATCTGAAAGCTGCTGCATGAAGTTTGAAAGAGTTTTGCGAAGCTGCTTCACCACCTCCTGGATAGGATGCCTCTCCCTGCCCCTCTCCAACCCAAGTCGAATAAGAAGCTTGTCACCCTCAAACGCTGTATGAAGCCGCACTACTAAACGATCTATGGTGTCTAGATCATTGTGAAGGACATAAGTCCCCTTTGCAGCTGCTTCAATCTGTGATAAATGGGCTAACTCCCTCTTACTCAATTTAGTAGGAAGGCAAACAGCACATAATGGGGTGGCAACAAGAGCTGCGAAAGCATGAGTGGCTATAGTGATGGCAGATATAACCACTCCAACTGTTGCTGCAATTAAGCAAATGACAGAGGTTCCTGTTGCACACCGGAGGCGCTGCATTCGCAATCTGGACTTCTGCAAACTTTTATCAAGCTCTTGCCTCAGCTCGGAGAAGCAGCGGCGCATATCATCGAAATTGTACGATCCAGGGCTAGGAAAGGGGTTCTCAAATTGGTCAAATTCGAGAAAAATGTCAAAAGCCCTATCACATTGGATCTGAGACAGGGATGATGTACCATTTTCTATATCTACTGGTAGGATATCAAGGAATTCAGCAAGTGGGGCATATATTAGGCGAGCACGATGGACACTTCGGTATATGCGAAGGCACAAACGGGAAGTGGATTCACTATGGTCAAAATAGGTAGCAACAAGATTGGTTAGGGCATTCTGTCTAATATGTGAGAGTGCTTCAGAGACATATTCATGGCTAGGGTCAAGGATCTGCTCTAAGAGTTCAGGTTCAGCAGGTTGATCCACCTGCCCAACCTCTACTCTTTCATTGGAATAGGTGCTTTGGTGGATCTTAGACCATATCTCACTATAGGAATTGGTTTGAACAGCAAGGGTATATTCATCCGTCAAGTTATAAGTGGGGGAGGTTTGAACACTAGAAAATGGAGTCCCGTCCAATGATCCTACAGTTTAATCCCAACAATGTTCACGAAAAAAATTTAGAATCTCACTGAAAGAATATTCATACTGGCAGGAAAGTTGAGAAGTTTACCTTGTGAAAATGGCGGGGAAGTGTGACTGTTTGTTGGTGCAGTGGAAGGTGATGGTTTTAGACAAGGCAGCATCTGACATTGTCCTTCGGCGAAGACCATTAGAGATCATGGGAGCAATAGAGGCTGGACAAGTAAATGCCGGATTTATCATAATACAAGATGAGAATAATAAGAAGAAGAATGGAACTACATCACTCTTGAGATCACAATAATTGCACCATAATTTAACAAATCGGATAACCATTTAAGCACAAAGTCCTCAGAAAAAGCTAATTAATTACATCACCAGTTAACTACTCTACAAAGCAACCAAAAAACTTCATAAAATGATTGAGTTACATAACTGACATGTTCCACATTACAACATCATCTTACTTCTATTTGAGTTGCTCAGAATAGGCAAAATACAAACATCATTCCCTTTTCCTTCTTTCAGTAACTTGGGTGCACCTGAGTTTCGAACAAATTCATCCTAAATAACCCAAAAGAAAATTCATACAAATTCATATTGGCTGCATAATGGTTTCATCCTCCTTTTAAAAAATTGTTCACGGAACGGCCTATCTATCAGTGATTTCGGAGGTGTTTTTACTTTTAACCATACAACACTAGCCGATTTTCCATAATTTGCATTCTCAATTGATTCACGGTATAAGGGTACAGAACATCAAAGTTAGGTCATTTATCGAAGTAAAGTTGTTTTGACATTTTCCACAATCGAACCCCAATCAACAAGGAATTAAATTCATATGTACTCAAACAGAACCCCGCACAGAAGGGGGGAAACGAAGTAAAACCTTGTCAATTCAAACCAAGAGCAAAGCATTCATTCAAATAGAGGGAAATTAAACAGTAGAGCTCAAAAGATTGGAACTTTTTTAGGTAAAACAAGCTTACTTGAAATGGATGAAAGAGCTGGCTGTAAATTGAAATTAATCGTCCAGGAGTTGCCTAAGGCGGGCTTTGATGTAGTTCTTCCGGGCCTGAGCACGAGCTTGTTGAGGGGCAATTTTGGTGAAAGAAAGATGAGCCCCAACGGCGATAAGAGAAGCGCCGGTGATCAAACCTAACACTGTTACCGTTAACTGCTTCCGAGTCGGAGGATATGACCATAAAACCATCTTCTGGGTTATACTCTCTAGAGAAGGGTCTCTTCTTATTTCCCACAAAGAGATGGGAAGTTTTGTTCGATTTTCACTTTTATTTTAGGGGAGAAAGGAAAAAAAACCATGTGGGTGTTTGACTTGAGCAAGTTTTTGCTGCATCAACAACAACTAGAAAAGAAAAAGCCTGAGGAGATGAACTTCCACATATCTTTAACGATCTAAGGTCCCAAAAAAAAACACTTCTGTTCTTACTTTGAAAACAAGTTTGGCCTAACAGAATAGAGTATATTAGGTATGTATGATAGATTTTGTGTTTGTTTCGTTTTTTAATATGTATTTTTAAGTGTTTTTGTATTAAAAATATAAAAATATGTATTGAAAATGTAAAAAATCGCGTTGGGACAAGATAATTAATAATAATTATTTTGAAAATACCATCAAAAGGAAACAAACAAAAGAGCTGCAAAACTGTGTAGAAAGAGAAGAAAATCAGGGCTGAGAGTTTGCTAGTGCTTTTGTCCCACATCGACGGGACGCTGAAGGTTGAGGCGGTTTAAGGGGTATAAAATATGAAGGGGTGGTATACAGATACATACTTACCTGGACGGGGTCGATGGGCGATCACGAAGGCCCATGGCCTAGGTTGGTGACCTTCATCGCACTTCGAAGGGATGCCCGCCTAAGGTCTATCCAAATGGGTGGAGCCTACGTCATAATTTGTGGTAGCGGGGGCCTGCGTTCGCGCGGCCCCTACCAATTGAAGTTAAAATGTTTTTGCTAAGATGAACTGAGCCGATTGACACTTAAGGCCCATAAGTTCTAGTTCATTAATATATTTCTTGGGGATTAAATATTCCTTCCAAAATTTATTATAAGAAAAATATATTTTTAGAAGTTATTTTTAATTAAAAAGACATCTAAGTTGAATTCAAAATGATTTACGAAAAATTTAAGTTATCGGAAGGAGTAGTTGTGGGCTTTACATATGTGAATTGTTGATAAATTCAAATCAAAATTTCAAATTTATTAAGGTAGCAGATTTCTTAGCAAAATTGAACTACTTCACTCAGGAGGGACAAAATTGGACTACTCCGCTCTCTTCTATATTTTGGCAACGCCCCCAACAATAATTCTAGATAAGTTGACTTTTGATAGTCAATTCTCCATGTGAGAGTTGTTATTGTAATCAAGCGTATATATAAAAAAAAAGAATAAATTCAAATTTCCTTTTTTCACATACAAATCCATCTTCCAGCAAGAGGACAAGCCGACAAAGGACCAAAAGTTGCTGGTGAAGACTACTGGTCCAACGACGATGAGGAGCTGCTACCGGAGGCCACCAGATAAGTCCCTCACCTTCACAATCATCTTTAGCAAAGCATCGATCTCCAGTGATAAATCATCCATGCATGGCCATCATGATATTAGGAACCAAGTAGGCAGCCTATTTGCTATTTACTGCTCTAATCGTCGTTTTGTGAACCAACTTTGGGTTTTATTTCGCTACTTTAATTTGGGTAGGGATTTGATGATCTATTTAGGCTTCCGAAGATCTCGAACTCACCTTTTGGTGTAGGACAATTTGTAATTAAACCTTTTGGCTTCCCAAATATATATAAAAATAAAAAAAATGAAAAAAATCCGTCTTCCAGCTAGTTAAAGAAAATCATGATTTTCGAGCAAGATGTGCCTCATGCTGATTCAATGACTGAAGTTACAAACAAAAAAACGGAAGGGGAAACCCTTGTAGCCTGAGGAGCAATGTTGCATTTCGAGCATTCTATAGTTTCAAATCCACGCCCAGCAGGAGAAACCACCTAAGCTTGAAACTCCATCCTTTTTTATGAAATCAAGGCAGCTAAATGTCTTGTATGAAATGAACTGAAGCTGTTTACCTTCTTAGAGAGGTAGAGAACTAGGCTAGAGTTTCTACGGATTCGGTGCATGATCATCCAAGTAAGTGATTGCAACTGCAGCATGAAGAGCTGCTCCTATAGGAAGAGTTTCTTCAGCTATCTCCAAGTAAGGTGTGTGCAACGCGGTAATTGTATCCGAGTTCTCATCTCTTGCTCCGATCAAAAACATTGTGGCTGCAATCTTCTGCCCATAAAAGCTAAAATCTTCGGCACCCATTGTCTGCCCCACAAGATGTACCTTGTCTTCCCCTAATAATATTTCTCCCACCCTTCTAGCATGTTCATACATTGAAAGATCATTTATGGTTGGAGGGTAATGTATCAAGGTCTCCTCCATAAAATCAACTGTAGCAGCACAATCGTGTACAGCCGCTTGAGTCTCTATTACCTGCAGAAACAGATGTCAAGAAACATTTGCTAGGAAAGCTACTTACGGTACAAATAAGCAACAAGCAAATCATGGTATCTGTTTATACACCAGCCAGGCTTAAACTCTACTGGTGAAAATGGTTCAGGAAAATTAACAGCCATCGTTTCGTTTTTTACCATAAATTTTGAGTTTGAAGATAATGGTGTATCAATCTTAAGAAATTCAAACAGAATCAAGAAGCCATATACCACAATAGAGTGTAAATTTTAGAGGAAACATTACTTCCAAGTTCCAACAAACAAATGTTACCTCTTTGATTCTTTGGAGCAAATAAGAAAAGCTGTCAGCACTCATGGATCGAAAAGTGCCCCCAAACTTGACTGTCTCAGGGATCACATTTCCTGCTTCACCTCCCTGTACGAAAGTTACAGAGACAACCTACAGCAAATAAAGAACAGAAAACAACTTGAAGCTCTTTTTCCTTTTTATGCGGCGAATTGATCATCAGAATCATTAATTCATCCAGAGGATGTGCAAAATTTTAGAAAACAATACCCTGGCATCCAGAGGATCACTTTCTCGGGAAACAATCTGCTGGAGTGCAATAATTGCCATGGAGGCAGCAACAATTGGATCTCTCGTTTTATGGGGTGCTGCTGCATGTCCTCCTACCCCTTTAATTATAGCTAAAAACCTTCCTGCTCCAGCCAGCAATGGCCCAGGTCTGGAGGCTATAGAACCTACATACATCTCCGGCGCCACATGTAGGGCAAAAATTGATTGAACACCTTCGAGAACTCCTTCTTTCAGGACATGATATGCACCCCCATGACCCTCTTCTCCAGGTTGAAAAACAAGCTTAATAGTACCCTATAAAAGTATTGGACAGCATCTTAACCGGAGATTTGACAGCCATCATCGGAAATGGTTGCAAATTGGTGGATATCATAAACTACCTTGAGAATATTTGTTCTATTCTGAATCAGTCTAGCTGCTCCAAGCAGCATTGTAGCGTGAGCATCATGACCACAGGCATGCATTTTGCCATTTATTTTGCTTTTGTGCTCCCAGTCAACCAATTCCTGCTAGTGATGACGAGGGCATATGTTACTTCAACGTTAGGGTAGCTCTTTCCCAGGATAAAAAGTTTTAGAAGCATTGCATGCAGCACATATATATACAGAGAGGAAAAAGAAAAAAGAGAGTAAAGTGCCTGTTTCATTCTACCTCAAAGGCAAAAGCACCGGAAGTATTTGCCACAAGAGCATCCTCAAATAAACTACTCCCTCCGGTCCTTAATATAAGGTATTTTGATCTAGTCCTAAGTTTCATCCAGTACACATTTTTAATTCACGAAAAAACCTTAAAAATATATTTTCATATTCATTGCATTCTCTTGATTGTTATGAAATATTTTTAAGATTTTTTGATCAATTAAAAATAGTTACTAGGTTAAACTTAGGACAAATCAAAATGCCTTATATTAAGGACCGGAGTGAGTATTATCTTGGTAGCAATAGCAAAATTACATGACAAAGTGAAATCTGACACGGCAAACCCCGTCCATCGTATCATGCCGGTACAATGTACAATAATGACACCCTTCAAATGTAATTTATATTTCCATTTTCCCAGACCTCACACTTGCTATTAGTTCTGTACTTGCAAACATCGAACTATTTTCGGCTTTTCGCTATATGATCATGTTCCATAAAAGCTGAGATCACAGTATCACACAGTGCTACTAGTCCAAAAGCTTTCTAAGTTCAAGATATAGTGTTACTACACGTTGCCTCACAAATGCCTGACTTAGACACATCAAAGAAACTGGCAAGCACTGTGTGACCTGGAACTTTTACGAAAGTCAGTATATGTGTTTATCAGCAGCCCTTTCACAGGGCATTCTAATAGGTTGAGGAACATCAGATCTACAAATCTTTCTTTCCCATCCAATCATGCAATACTCAGAAGAACACCAAATCGTTTTTCCACAGGAGAATTCAGTGTATTCTATTGCATAAAAAAATTCATATAAAAAGAGAAAGAGTCAAATCTGCAAAACAACAAGGAAATAATTTGTCTTAGTCTAAACTGCATCTTTAAATCGAACTAATAATTTGATGACACTGACCGTACAGTGAATAATAAGCCTAGTCCTACTAAATTTTAATTTTTTATTTTTTTTTAAAAAAGAAAGAAACAGCAAGACAAAGAAGTTCATCAAATCAATTAGTACTAATTAAATTTTACCGGTATGAAAGTATTTGGGTGAGACGGAGAAAGACCTGGATGGGTAGGGCATCCATGTCAGCTCTCAAAGCAAACAGAGGTTGATCGCCAGACCCAATTGTTGCCACCACCCCAGTTTTCGCCACCGGCCACGTGTACTGGATGCCCATCGCATCAAGCTCATCCCTGATCAGTTGACTCGTCTTGTACTCTTCAAATGCTAGCTCCGGATACTCGTGAATTCGCCTCCGGACCCTTTTGAGCCAATCGAAGAACTCGCTTTCCTTTGCCGATTCCAACAGTTCCCGAATCAGTAACGCCGTTTCCGGCCCCGGCTTAGAGTCTTGAGCCAAAGAATTGTTGTTGAAACATAAATTTGTCGAGAGAGCTAAAAGAACGAACCAGATGTAAGCAGGACGAAACCAGTCCATTGAGAAACAAAGGAAAACAATTGGGTTCAGTTGATAAACATGCGTTTTGCTATCATTTCTATTGAAGATGGGGGAGATCCTTTTAACTCCATTGATTTCTTGGCGCTTGCTCCTCGTTGGCGTTCGCAGTTCGTTCTGGAATTGCAATATAAACTATGAAAATTTACAAAGCACACTCCTTCAAAATTAGAGCTAATAGCAAATTGCCTCGTGTTTCATTTAGTTTGCATAACATTCTTTAAAATATGTCACCATTATTCATTACTAGTATCTATAGTATATATATTATACTAAGAGAGAAACTAGAAAGAGGAAATCAAACCTTTCCTCCCGTTGACACGTAGGACAATATCCTATGTGTCAGTTTTCAATTGGTTGCAACAAAAAATATTTCCAACAATTACACCAATAGTCCTCCAAATTTTAAGTGATTCATTTGTTATCAGATTGAAATTAAGACAATCATATCAGTCATTAATTAACAAACTCACAAAATCAGCAAAAATCATAAACATCAAAAACTTTCTATTTCGTGATGATGAAATGAAAAAAAAAACCGGAAAATCTTTAAATCCTCCATTCTATGTTACCCAAAAAAGGTAAATATTTATTTTATTCATTAAGTAATCTGATATGATTTGAAAATATGATTCGGTTGGCGGGAATGAATCCATCACATACAAAAACAAACATTAAACAATATTAGTTATATTTTGAAATTCAAATATAATAAATGTCAGAATCATCTGTATATATTGTAGCCTTTCATTAATTTTAAAACCCAAAAAACCAGCCTCAACCATAATTTACCCCGAATTATAATAATTACAGAGTTATATATATGTTGCTTGAAAAACCATATTGGGACAAACATAAATTATCAATAATTTATTTTGGACGAGAGGTTGAGCATTATATGCCTATAAATATTGGGACATTTTCTAGCAGAACCTCACACTTTCTTGCGTGCTTCAGTAGTTTTTGTTTCATTTTCTTCCCTCTAATCACATAACCTAATCTATAGTATTATACTAAGAGAGAAATCAGAAAGAAGAAATCAAACCTCTCCTCCCGTTGACACGTAGGACAATATCCTATGTGTCAGTTTCTAATTGGTTGCAACAAAAAATATTTCCAACAATTACACCAATAGTCCTCCAAATTTTAAGTGATTCATTTGTTATCGGATTGAAATTAAGACAATCATATCAGTCATTAATTAACAAACTCACAAAATCAGTAAAAATCATAAACATAAAAAACTTTCTATTTCGTGATGATGAGATGAAAAAAAAATAGAAAATCTTTAAATCCTCAATTATGTGTTACCCAAAAAAGATAAATATTTATTTTATTCATTAAGTAATCTGATATGATTTGAAAATATGATTCGGTTGACGGGAATGAATCCATCACATACAAAAACAAACATTAAACAATATTAGTTATATTTTGAAATTAAAATATAATTAATGTCAGAATCATCTGTAGATATTCTAGCCTTTCATTAATTTTAAAATCTAAAAAATCATCCTCAACCATAATTTATGCCTAATTACAATAATTACAGAGTTATATATATGTTTTGCTTGAAAAACCATATATGGCATACACTCTAAAATTATTTCAAAATTCAAAAAATTCGTAACAAACATAAATTATCATAATTTATTTTGGACAAGAGGTTGAGCATTATATGCCTATAAATATTGGGACATTTTCTAGCGGAACTTCACACTTTCTTGCGTGCTTCAATAGTTTTTGTTTCATTTTCTTCCCTCTAATCATATGACCTAATTAAATATGATTGAAACTGATTGTCTTTGATTGTGTTCTTTTTACAGGTACAAGACGTATAAGAATTTCAACAAATTCAAGATTGACTTTCAGTTTCAATCAAAGACAAAAAATATTTACAACAATTATACCAATAGTCCTTCAAATTTTATGTAAATAAAGTTTTATCAAATGGCATTTAAAACTATAGTTTAAAATAGGAAAATAAAAATTAATTAAATTTAATGGACGGGATTAATAAACATTAATGCACCAGAATTATTCCATCCCCAAAAGAATCTCCAAAGTTACTACTGGACTCATTTAATTAATCTCTTTCTCAAAAAAAAAAATCTTCCTCCCAATCATGTAATCAATAGACTACAATTCAAAAAGAAAAAAAAAATACCAATCATTCAACATTAATGTTATCTTTAAAATCTTCTCCCAAAAACATCTATAGTATATATATTATAGTAAGAGAGAAACCAGAGAGAGGAAATCAAACTTCTCCTCCCGTTGACACATAAGACAAAATCCTATGTGTAATTTTTTTATAGGTTGACACAAAAAATATTTACAACAATTACACTAACATTCCTTTGAATTTTCAGTAAATAAAGTTTCATCAAATCGTAATTAAATTCTATCAATTAATTGGGGCTAAACTTTCACTTTTAAATTCGGTCAAACAAAAAAAAAACGGAATATTTTTTTTAAAAAAAATCAACATTAATGGTTTCTTTCCATTTGGTGTCATAAAGAAAAGGTAAAATTGATTTGATTTTATTATAATTATTGTTGATTGATTTGAATAAATATTCTGAATGACTTAAATAAAGCTCCAATTACGGTTGATGACCTTACCTAAAAAAACCATGACCAATGACCTTACCTAAAAGATAATCAAAATTAATGCTAAATTTTTTTTAATTGGAAAGTTGAAATCATAATATCAACATTAATGTAATTTCGAGAAACCAGAGAGAGAAAACAAAAAAGAATTCTAAAGGTGCCACATAGGATAAAATCCTATGTGTTATTTTTCTAATGGCTGAGTCAAAAAATATTTCAACAATTATACTAATAGTCCTTCAAATTTTATGTAAATCTATAGTATTATACTAAGAGAGAAACCAGAGAGAGAAAACAAAAAAGAGTTCTAAAGGTGCCAAATAAGATAAAATTCTATGTGTCATTTTCTAATGGTTGAGTCAAAAAATATTTACAACAATTATACTAATAGTCCTTCAAATTTTATGTAAACAAAGTTTTATCAAATCACATTTAAAACTATAGTTTAAAATAGGAAAATAAAAATTAATTAAATTTAATGGATGAGATTAATGAACATTAATATACCAGAATTATTCCCTCCCCAAAAGAATCTCCAAAGTTACTACTGGACTTATTTAATTAATCTCTCTGAAAAAAAAAAAAATCTTCCTCCCAATCATGTAATCAATAGACTACAATTAAAAAAAAAAAAAACCAATCATTCAACATTAATGTTATCTTTAAAATCTTTTCCCGAAAACATCTATAGTATATTATACTAAGAGAGAAACCAGAGAGAGGAAATCAAACTTCTCCTCCCGTTTGACACATGAGACAAAATCCTATGTGTAATTTTTTTATAGGTTGACACAAAAAATATTTACAACAATTACACTAACAGTCCTTTGAATTTTCAGTAAATAAAGTTTCATCAAATCGTAATTAAATTCTATCAATTAATTGGGGCTAAACTTTCACTTTTAAATTCGGTCAAACAAAAAAAAATGGAATATTTTTTTTAAAAAAAATCAACATTAATGGTTTCTTTCCATTTGGTGTCATAAAGAAAAGGTAAAATTGATTTGATTTTATTATAATTATTGTTGATTGATTTGACTAAATTTTCTGATTGACTTAAATAAAGCTCCAATTATGGTTGATGACCTTACCTAAAAAAACCATGGCCAATGACCTTACCTAAAATAATAATCAAAATTAATGCTAAATCTTTTTTAATCGGAAAGTTGAAATCATAATATCAACATTAATGTAATTTCGAGAAACCAGAGAGAGAAAACAAAAAAGAATTCTAAAGGTGCCACATAGGATAAAATCCTATGTGTCATTTTTCTAATGGTTGAGTCAAAAAATATTTACAACAATTATACTAATAGTCCTTCAAATTTTATGTAAATAAAGTTTTATCAAATGGCATTTTAAAACTAGGGAGAATGGACCCTTTCATCCGAAGGTTTGAGCCACACCATCTAAAACATCCCAAAGTTTAAAAGTATGCCATTTTCATCCCAAAATTTTCAAAAATATGTAATATTAGGACATTTGTTAATTTTTTTCAAGTTATTAACGGTGATATTTCATTCAGTTTCTTTTCCCCCATTTTTTTTTAGTCAAAAAAGTTTCATGCTTGCGTTTTGTAAATTTGGTCCATGCCAAGCAAAAAAGTTACATGCCCCTGCATCAATTACAACACCAATTTTTATAATGATGCTATATATTTCAAAAAATAAATGAAATAGGGCTTACTTTCTAATTTTGACACACACAAAACCTCTCATGATTGTTATCAATCTAGAAGGTGAATCTTAGATTTTTTTTTTTCCTTTTTCTAAGCAAGAGAAGAATGGATGATGTGAAGACCCAAATTAGGTTTAGCTATTTTCTTATAAGGTGGGAGTTAGTGGAACGTGTTAAATGATTAAAAAAATATAGAAGGAGAAAAAGAATAAAGTACCACCACTAATTAACTAACTGAAGTTAAAAATTTAACGAATATCCTAATGTATCATGTTTTTAAAAAGTTTGGGATTTAAATGGCATGTTCTTAAACTTTGAGATGTTTTGGATGGTGTGGCCCAAACTTTGGGATGAAAAGACCCATTTTCTCTTTAAAACTATAGTTTAAAATAGGAAAATAAAAATTAATTAAATTTAATAGACGGGATTAATGAAAAATAATGCACCAGAATTATTCCCTCCCCAAAAGAATCTCCAAAGTTACTACTAGACTCATTTAATTAATCTCTCTCAAAAAAAAAAATCTTCCTCCCAATCATGTAATCATTAGACTACAATTCAAAAAAAAAAAAAAAACCAATCATTCAACATTAATGTTATCTTTAAAATCTTCTCCCAAAAACATCTATAGTATATTATACTAAGAGAGAAACCAGAGAGAGGAAATCAAACTTCTCCTCCCGTTGACACATGAGACAAAATCCTATGTGTAATTTTTTTATAGGTTGACACAAAAAATATTTACAACAATTACACTAACATTCCTTTGAATTTTCAGTAAATAAAGTTTCATCAAATCGTAATTAAATTCTATCAATTAATTGGGGGCTAAACTTTCACTTTTAAATTCGGTCAAACAAAAAAAAACGGAATATTTTTTTTTAAAAAAATCAACATTAATGGTTTCTTTCCATTTGGTGTCATAAAGAAAAGGTAAAATTGATTTGATTTTATTATAATTATTGTTGAGTGATTTGAATAAATTTTCTGATTGACTTAAACAAAGCTCCAATTATGGTTGATGACCTTACCTAAAAAAACCATGGCCAATGACCTTACCTAAAAAAAAATCAAAATTAATGCTAAATCTTTTTTAATCGGAAAGTTGAAATCATAATATCAACATTAATGTAATTTCGAGTTTTTTGCACAAAAAAAAAAATTAAACTCAAACATATTAAATATGTTAAATATTTAAATATACATATATAATCCTGATTTTTTTATTAATTAGGTTGTAAATTAGACAAAAAAAAAACGGAACATTTTTTTTTAAATCAACATTAATGGTTTCTTTCCATTTGGTGTCATAAAGAAAAGGTAAAATTGATTTGATTTTATTATAATTATTACTAATTGATTTGAATAAATTTTTTGATTGACTTAAATAAAGCTCCATTTATGGCTGGTGACGTTACCTAAAAAAACTATGGCCAATGACCTTACCTAAAAAAATAATCAAAATTAATGCTAAATCTTTTTTAATCGGAAAGTTGAAATCATAATATCAACACTAATGTTGATTCGAGTTTTTTGCACAAAAAAAAAAAATTAAACTCAAACATATTAAATATGTTAAATATTTCAATATCTATATATAATCCTGATTTTTTTATTAATTAGGTTGTAAATTAGACTAAAATATCTTAACATTTTGAATTTTAAAATTCGATTTGAATTATGATAAGCATTAATCGCGTTTAATTCTAGCATTTCATTAAAAATTAAAATCTATAAACTTCATGGATTTTATTCGGTCAGTGTATATATATATATATATATTTGTAACAAAATTTAAATTATTTTTAAGGTGGGGCAAATAATGCATTATCAACTACATATAGTTAGACGTAGAAGGTGAAGGAAGAGTACAATATATTTGATTTAATACAGCCCATTTGGAAACAGAATGGTCGTTTATAGTATCAGTGAATAAAATGAGTCCTTCAAAAGTGTCAATTTCCTGAAACTAATATATCATAATCTCTTCCAATTATTTTAATTCTACAAAAATAAAAAATATTTCTTTGATACACATTATTTTTATCTTTGTACATAATTTATCTATCCCGCACATCGTGCGGGTCACATCTAGTATTATACTAAGAGAGAAACCAGAAAGAGGAAATCAAACCTCTCCTCCCGTTGACACGTAGGACAATATCCTATGTGTTAGTTTCTAATTGGTAGCAATAAAAAATATTTCCAACAATTACACCAATAGTCTTCCAAATTTTAAGTGATTCATTTGTTATCGGATTGAAATTAAGACAATTATATCAGTCATTAATTAACAAACTCACAAAATCAGCAAAAATCATAAACATAAAAAACTTTCTATTTCGTGATGATGAGATGAAAAAAAAAACAGAAAATCTTTAAATCCTCCATTATGTGGTACCCAAAAAAGGTAAATATTTATTTTATTCATTAAGTAATCTGATATGATTTGCAAATATGATTCGGTTAGCTGGAATGAATCCATCACATACAAAAACAAACATTAAACAATATTAGTTATATTTTGAAATTCAAATATAATTAATGTCAGAATCATCTGTATATATTCTAGCCTTTCATTAATTTTAAAACCCAAAAAATCAGCCTCAACCATAATTTATGCCTAATTACAATAATTACAGAGTTATATATATGTTTTGCTTGAAAAACCATATATGGCATAACTCTAAAATTATTTCAAAATTCAAAAAATTCGTAGCAAACATAAATTATCAATAATTTATTTTGGACGAGAGGTTGAGCATTATATGCCTATAAATATTGGGACATTTTCTAGCAGAACCTCACACTTTCTTGCATGCTTCAGTAGTTTTTGTTTCATTTTCTTCCCTCTAATCATATGACCTAATTAAATATGATTGAAACTAATTGTCTTTGATTGTGTTCTTTTTACAGGTACAAGACGTATAAGAATTTCAACAAATTCAAGATTGACTTCCAGCGACCGAGAGCATCGATCGACAGAAGGCAAATTACAGCAGAGGCATGGACCAAGATTTTTATTTTTATTTTTTTTAAAATATGATTTTTGCGTTATGTGTAGATGAAAGATGTACATTGCGGACTTTGTTGTGCACTGTGCACATGTGTTAACTTAAAGCATAAAGGTTCACTCTCTTAATGTTTTTTTTTTACTTAATCTACTTCAATTTTCTTGTGTTGAATTTCTTCTATTAATTTTTGTTAAAAGTGAATGTGGTGTCTTATATATGTGCGGTGCAATTTCCATTTTCTCGATATCAATTCTAAGGAAAAATTATATTTTTTTATCTCCTTATTAACTGTTTGAGAATTCAATATTTGAGTATTTCCAACCATTCAATCATAATTAATAAATAATATTTTATTTTAAATTAATTATTCTTTAAAGTTATTGGTTTACATGATTTTGAGCATAAATTTGACTACTTTCAAGCTGTTACACTATGATAATTATTCTTTTAATTATTTTTTTTTCTTTTGTTGTATAATACATCAGAAAATGAAATCATGTATTACGAGGCTTACTTTATTTTTGTTTTCCAGGAGTGAATATATATAAATATATATGTTACTTTTTCATGTATCACATTTTTCTTTATTTAAATCTTAATAATTAATATTTCATAAGATTTATACACATATTATACACATTTTTATATTTTCTTAAAAAAAGTATAAAAAAATTGTAGCATATCCCACACATCGTGCGGGTTTAACATCTAGTTTATTAGTATTACATTTTCATGCTTACGAAAATTCGCTCTCAATAACCATTGTATCTAAAATGCATAAATTGTTTTATCATTTTTTTAATAAGAGAAATACATGTGGGATTTTTTTTTCCAAGAAATTATGTGAAATAAATTTAAACTATCCCTTAATCTTAATTGCATCATAAACACAAAATGAAAAGTATAAAAATGAAGAATCTTTTTTTTTTCAAGAAAAAAATGAAAGATATTATTTATTCTACATCATTCCTTCTCACTTCTTCTTGTAAGTACTTGTATTTTTCTAATAAACATACCCTTTCAGCTCTCAAATGAACTTCAATGGATTCCGGTCCAAAAAACTCTTCACTCTTTCTTTTCCTGACAAAAAAAACATTTTTATTCTTTTTAATTTAAATTTTTTACTTTTTTTAGTATAAACTGTAGTACTAAAAATAAAATCTAATATGAATAACCGTATGGGGTAAAAGGAATATCTTTTTTCCAGCATCACATGATTATATTATGTACTCATAATTTAAATATAAGGACCATAGTAATAAACATAATAGTGAGAAAGCCAAATTATAGGGGTCATATAATAAAATCAAAAGTAACAAAAAAAATTAAAATTATAAAATTGGTGGGGATGGCGGTTTGCTGTTGCTACAGTGGAAGTATGTGCAGCAAATCCATTAGCTAGTTGCTGATATATTAATGTAACATTGAAGTTGCTGGATATATGAGACAAGATTTAACATTGCTCCCACATTGTCTTATCCATACTTAACGGGGGGGCGGGGGTGTCAGGGGCTGCTGATCTAAGGTCTGCCCAAGTGGTAGAGTCTATGAAAGGGTCATTTCATTGCAACTGGGGAGATCTATTAGCCACAAGTGGGAAACTAATCTACCCCTCGACGAACATGTTATAGCTTGACCTCGCTTTCATTTTGATTCTGATGTTGGGGGCAATAGAAGAACATAGGATTATTCCAATATAAGTCAAGGCCCCCCCATTTGGAGATTCTGTGATTGTTTGTATTAGAGAGTGTGTTACTAGGATGGCAGCCGGCAGTTTTGATCACCTAGGAAGATTCCATACTTTATAAATGTAATTATAGATCACTAACACGTCATCATCCTGACTTTTATCTTGATCTAAAAGCAAAAATTAATTCCAGTTCCAATATTAGTAAAGATTTACGATCTTTGTTTTTGACCCTCAAAACAGTCCTCTTTCAACACTCAATTACTCTCATGGCAGGAACCTCTCTACTCTCAGCAGCGTGTCGAAGGTATGTATGTACACTTAATAGTCAACTTAAATTGATCTGGGAATCAGCCCTTCTTTTGAATTTGTAAAATTTGCAGGCTAGAAGGAAAAGTGGCATTGATCACGGGAGGAGCTAGTGGAATTGGAGAATGCACAGCCAAACTCTTCTCAAATCATGGTGCTAAAGTTGTCATTGCTGATATTCAAGATAAGCTAGGACAATCATTGAGCCAGAAATTAGGTTCATCAGATTGTACATTCGTTCATTGTGATGTAACCCACGAAGATCAAGTAAAAAATGCCGTTAACAAAACAGTTGCAGCCTTTGGAAAACTGGACATCATGTTCAACAACGCGGGAACCATCGAAGATCCGAATAAAACCCGGATCAACGAAACGGAGTTAGAAGACTTTGAAAGAGTGCTCAGAGTGAATGTGTCAGGGGTGTTTCTCGGGATGAAGCACGCGGCTCGTGTGATGATTCCTGCCCGAACCGGATGCATAATTTCCACTTCCAGCTTAGCCTCCGGCACCGCCGGGGCTGGACCCCATGCTTACACCGCTTCCAAGCACGCGGTTGTTGGCCTGACGAAGAACTTGGCTGTGGAGCTTGGAAGATATGGGATCAGGGTCAATTGTTTGTCACCGTTTGGGGTTGAAACGCCTTTGGCTACGGAATTCTTGGGGATTGAGGGAGCTGATTTTCAGGATGCTTTAAGGTCGCAAGCCAACCTTAAAGGCGTAACTCTTAGAGGTGAAGATGTTGCTGAAGCTGCCCTGTATCTAGCAAGTGATGATTCTAAGTATGTGAGCGGACAAAACTTATTCATCGACGGCGGCCTAAGCATTTGCAACTCTTCCCTCAATATGTTTGCATAATAATGTTCTAGATTCATGTTTAAGCAGATGGAAGCATTTTGAATAAAACTCTTTGATTACCCTGCACTTTTTTCCCCCTCGAGTTTCCTATTAGTCGAGAAACATGTGTGATTATAAAGATTTCAATCCAAAGCATTTTCTCTGGTCAAATGGGACCATCATATCTTTTGTTCTTACTTCTTAGTAAATAGCATTTGTGGATTGTGACGAAGAAAAATGCATTTTGGCAGAACTGAGATAGGATTTTGAATATTTTTTATTTTGACTTAACTTGCGAGCTGTTTACCTGTTTGTAATACATTCAGTGGTAAACGTTTGTGGTCGTATTTCTTTTCTTTTCTTTTTATTTTTTTATTTGAATTGTTGAATGTATGGTGATGTGTACATTTTGTGACTGAAAAACATGATTTTCTTCGACTAATTTTAGGAAGATCTACAAACAGAGAGTATATGCAAGTAACAGCTGTAATAATGAGGCGCAAGGTTGCAAATTTATGAAAACCAGAAGCATAATACGTATATATGTTCAAATGCCCTGCGCCAGCGTGTGAAACGGAGGTAGCTAAGCTTGAAACAACCATCATTTGTAAGGAATTCAAGACACTCTATGAACATGATGATCATCTAAGTAAGTGGTAGCAACTGCAGCATGAAGAGCAGCTCCAATGGGAAGTATTTCTTCGGCAATGTCCAAATATGGCGTGTGCAACCCGGTAATTGTATCTGAGTCCTTATCTCTTGCACCAATCATGAAAAATGCAGCAGCCATCTTCTGCCCATAAAAGCTGAAATCTTCGGCTCCCATTATCTGCCTCGCGAGCTGTACCTTGTCTTCCCCTAGTAACATTTCTCCTACTCCTTTGGCATGTGTATACATTGACAGGTCATTAATGGTTGGAGGGTAAGGCCTCAACATCTCCTCCATAAAATCAACAGTTGCAGTACAATGGTATACAGCCGCTTGCTTTACTATTACCTGAAAAAATGCACATTCAGTAATATCTGCTCACAAAACAATTCACGATTTAAAAAGCAACAACCAAATGATGGTATATATTATGCGCTGCTTGGCTCAAAACTTTACTGGTAAAGATAAGTCAGAAGAATAAACAGCTATCACTTCTCTTTCACCATGAAAGCTAAGTTAGAAAATAATGGTCTACATTAAAAACAAGAATCAAACAGAACGAGGAAGAAACATCGCAAATGGGAGTATGAAATATAGCTACTCGTCTGCAGCCCCATGTCATTAAGGGAACATGTTTTCTAACACACATAGATTACCTCTTCGATTCTTTGGAGCAGGTAAGAAAAGCTATCAGCACTCAAGAACCGAAAAGTTCCCCCAAACTTGACTGTCTCAGGGATAACATTTCCAGCTTGACCTCCCTTTATGAATCCTACAGACACCACCTAGATCAAATGGAGTAAAAAGTGACTTCACTCCGACCTTTTCCTTATACTGAGCATTGATCATCAGAATCTTAAATAAATAAAAATACCCTGGCATCCAGAGGATCAGTTTCTCTGGATACAATCTGCTGGAGTGCAACAATCGCCATGGAGGCGGCAACTACTGGATCTCTTGTTTTATGGGGTGCTGCTGCATGTCCACCTGCACCTTGAATTACTGCCAAAAACCTACCTGATCCGGCTAGCATTTGACCAGGTCTTGAGGCGATAGAGCCTACATACAACTCTGGCGTCACATGAAGGGCAAAAATAGACTGAACCCCATCAAGTGCTCCTTCTTTCAGGACATGATATGCACCTCCACGACCTTCTTCTCCCGGTTGGAAAACAAGCTTTACAGTGCCCTATAAAAATATGGGATAGCTTGTTATTTGCAACTTCAACAACCATTCTTTTACAGTAGTTGACGATCAGAAATCACAAAGTACCTTGAGACTTTTTGTTCTATTCTGAAGCAATCTGGCTGCACCAAGCAACATTGTGGTATGAGCATCGTGACCGCAGGCATGCATTTTGCCATCAATTTTGCTTTTGTGCTCCCAATCCACCAATTCCTACAATTGACAATTTGGTGATACTGTCACTTTTGAAGTAGGAAAGCACCTAACACCTGCAAGCATCGATGCTTACAACGGGCAAAATACTATCATATGCTTCACACATATATCAAGTGGTAAAATATTGATTGAAAAAATGCTTCTAAGAAGGATTGCTACAGCATCATTACGACCTTGCCCATCAAGCCTTCGGCATCTCATTCACTTCTGACTTCAATGCTTAGAAGAAATTGGAAAGCAACAGCAAACTTAAACTTAGCCTGGGATTTTTTCCCTACAGTCAATATATGTGGCCGCAGTCCATTCAGAGGGAATTCTAATATCTTGAGGAAATACATGTCTTTCTTTCCCATCCATCTAGGATAAAAGCAAATCGATTTTTTCCGGAAAAATCAGTGTGCTCTAATGCACAACAATTTCATCAATTATATTATTTTATTATCTACTGAAAAACTTCGTGAGCCCTAATTCTCCAATGTTTAGACTTTAAACTTTAAAGTCGATTTAATAACAATTTGATGAGATTTGACTGTGAACTGAAATTTCCAAGTGGCACCACAATATGAACAACATCAACACGGCTAGCCCCACAATTAGTGAACGTGTAATGCCCATATCATTTCTACTTAAAGAACAAAAAAGCAGCAAGGATAAGTATTTGAACAGATAAATTACTAAACTAAAGTATAATTTCTGATATAAAAATTTTTTGATCGAAATGAAGAAAGACCTGGATGGGTAGGGCATCCATGTCAGCTCTCAGGGCAAACAGAGGTTGATCGCCGGACCCAATTGTTGCCACCACCCCAGTTTTCGCAACCGGCCACGTGTACTGGATGCCCAGCGCGTCAAGCTCATCCCTGATCAGTTGACTCGTCTTGTACTCCTCAAATGCCAGTTCAGGATACTCATGAATTCTTCTCCGAACCCTTTTCAGCCATTCGAAGAACTCGCTCTGCTTTGCCGATTCCAAAAATTCCCGAATCAGTATTAACTCCGGCTTGGTGTTTTGAGCCAAAGTATTAGCGTAACAAGAAAAATTCGACGAAAGGGCTAAAACAGCAAACCAAATGTATGCTAAACGAAACCATTCCATCGAGAAAACAAGAAAACCAATCCGGGTTCAGTTGAGGAAAATCCGTTCCGTTCGGTTGATCATTCATTTTTCAGATGAAACTTTTCATATTCATTGATTCTTGGCTCTTGCTTGGCGTCGGTGTTCGCAATGTTCGTGATTCGGGAATTATATATTCAGAATCATATTTATAAGTCAACACCTTCCAATCCGATTATTACGACAGCTCCAGAATCATAAAATATTTAGCTTAATTTCCTGCAGAAAATTTATTAATTGTTTTACTAACTATTCCATGTCATCTTTCGCAATCCTTCGGCTTGATTCATTTCATTTGTTGATCTAATACCGAAAATCTAAGGGGAAAAATAAATAGTTATTCATACAAGCACTTGTTTTTTTTTTCTTCTCCACAATAAGGAAATTTAATATTTTTCAAATGTCTACAGGGTAATTTGAACATTTGGGGACTGAAATAATGGCTTTGGTTACATGATTTTGTTTAACTAGCTAATGGATGATGTACTTCTTTGAAATGTACGTAAATGAAGGTACTATCTTTCATTTTCAAAAAAAAAAAAAAGAAGGTACTCCCTTCGTCCTACAATTATTGTATAGTTTGGATTTTTATTTTTAGTTCAAATTGTACTAAAAGTAAAATCTCAAAATGGACAATAATTTTGGGACAAAAGCGAGTACTATCTTTGTAGGTAGAGGAGCAATGCTGCAGATTTATGAACAAGAATTTTCGAGCATAATGTATTCTCATAGAGAGAGTATAGAGTGACCTACTGAAGCTGTACATGATTGTCAAAGTAAGCAGCTGCAACCGCAGCATGAAGAGCAGCTCCAATGGGTAGAACTTCTTCGGCTATCTCAAAGTAAGGCGAGTGCAACGGGGTAACTGTATCCGATTTCTCATCTCTTGCTCCAATCATAAACATAGTAGCTGCCATTCTCTGTCCATAAAAGCTGAAATCTTCAGCTCCCATCATCTTCCCCCCAACTTGTACTTTGTCTTCCCCTAGTAACATTTCGCCGACTCCTTTAGCATGTTCATACATTGAAAGATCATTAATGGTTGGAGGATAAGGTCTCAGGCTCTCCTCCATAAAATCAACTGTAGCTGTACAATGGTAAACGGCCGCTTGAGTCTCTATTACCTGTAAAAATGCAGATTCAGAAACATATGATAAGACAACCACTTTTATAACAAAGAAGCAAGAAGCAGAACTTGGTAGATGTTTACCGACCAGCCAGCTTAAATTACAGCTATTGCTTATTTTTGCCATCGTAGTTAAGTTTGTAAATAATGGTCTAACAATCTTAAGAAATCAAAACAGAACCAGGAAGAAACAATAACAAAATGGAAATGAAGTATAGGCTACTCTCTGCAGCTCAATGTAATTAACGGATACATTTCTTCTAAGAGACAGAGATTACCTCTTTGATTCTTTGGATCATGTAGGAAAAACTTTCAGCACTCAAGAACCGAAAAGTGCCCCCAAACTTGACTGTCTCAGGGATAACATTTCCAGCTTCCCCTCCCTGTATAAAACCTACAGAGACTACCTACAGCAAATAAAGCACAAAAATGACTCTAAGCTCCAATATGCGGGGGTTGATCACCAATAGGCAATCGTTATGATCTGTAGACGGATGTGCCAAAATGAGAAAAAGAAAATACCCTGGCATCCAAAGGATCACTTTCTCGGGATACTATCTGCTGGAGTGCAATAAGTGCCATGGAGGCAGCGACGATTGGATCTCTCGTTTTATGAGGTGCTGCTGCATGTCCACCTATCCCTTTAACTATTGCTAAAAACCTTCCTCCTCCAGCTAGCATTGGTCCAGGTGTAGAGGCAATAGAACCAACATAAATATCTGGTGCCACATGAAGGGCAAAAATGGATTGAACACCTTCCAGTGCTTGTTCTTCCAAGACATGATATGCACCTGCATAACCCTCTTCTCCAGGTTGGAAAACAAGCTTAATAGTACCCTATAAAAATATTCAACAGCATGTCAACCAGAACTTAAATAGCCATCTTTTGAAATAGTTGCTAATTGAAGATCATATAATCTATACCTTGAGAGTATTTGTTCTATTCTGAAGCAGTTTAGCTGCTCCAAGCAACATTGTCGTGTGAGCGTCATGTCCACAGGCATGCATTTTGCCATTTATTTTGCTTTTATGCTCCCAATCAATCAATTCCTACAAGTGACAATGTGATAATATTGTTATTTAGGAGCTAGGAGAACTATAACCTTAACCTAGGAATTTGATAGCTAATTTCCGAGTCATGTATGTATTGTAGAACATGCATATCAAGGGGTATTAACAGCAGCACCGTCCTCTAAAAAGTAAAGTATTCTCTAGGAAGCATAATCAACACCACAGAGCAAAGTGATGCCTTAAAACGACATCCCCATCATATGATATGTTTCAATGTCCACTAATTAAACCCTTTAAAGGCAATTTAGATTTCCATTTTCCGGAAAGAAACAGATTCACTATTAGTTCTGTATTCAGAATATATTTGCCAATTTGATTCTGCCTCATAAAAGCAGATATCACAGGGCACCATATCCCAAAAGTCTTTTGGGGAAGCTGCTATAGCCTTACTACAACCTTATCCATCAGTTTGTCAGGCATTCTGAAGCTTTTTCAAAAGTCAAGATAAGTCTCAACAGGGAATTCTAAAAATAGCTAAAGAAAATTTCTGAGGGCATACTTCAACTGCCTGAGGAATAAGAAACGTACTCTTTGTTTCCCATCCAATCATGCATACTCAGAGAAATACAGCAAATAGAAGTAAAAGTTCGATAATGTATAAACAAAGAAAGAAATTCAATATAGCAGAGAGATGGAAAAACAATTGACACTGGTGCTTGTAAGTCCATCTTTCGAGTCAAATTAAGAGTTCGATTACGTTGGCTTTAAACTGCAATTACCACAATTATGAACCAAATCATCCCAGCTAGTACCAAAACAATAAATGTGCAATACTTACAGTTTTGCCTAAGAACAGAACAAGATAAGAAGTTTAATCAATCAATTGCAAATTTACTGAACTGGTATGAAATATTGAGTGAGACGGAGAAAGACCTGGATGGGTAGGGCGTCCATGTCAGCTCTCAGAGCAAAGAGAGGTTGATCACCGGACCCAATTGTTGCCACCACCCCAGTTTTTGCCACCGGCCACGCGTATTGGATGCCCAGCGCGTCAAGCTCATCCCTGATCAGTTGGCTCGTCTTGTACTCATCAAATGCTAGTTCCGGATACTCGTGAATTCTTCTCCGAACCCTTTTGAGCCAATCGAAGAACTCGCTTTCCTTTGCCGATTCCAACAGTTCTCGAATCAGTGACGCCGGTTCCATCCCCGGCTTAGAGTCTTGGGGCAAAGAATTGTTGAAATATAAATTTGTCGACAGAGTTAAAAGAACGAACCAGATGTAAGCAGGACGAAACAAGTCCATTAAGAAACCAGGAAAACTATTGGGTTCAGTTGATAAACATCACGTTCAGTTCACCATCGCTATTTCAGATGGGGAAAATTCTTAACTTCATTGATTCTGGCCGCTTTTGCTTAGCGTTGGCGTTCGCAATGTCCATAAGTTGTGTTCCGGAATCATATTATAAGCTACTCATCCAATCAGATCAGACTAGTGGTAGTGGTAAGGAACGGCACGAGAGAATCATAAAATCATCTGCCTAATCTATACCAGGAAAGTTTGTGTGAATATTAGTTAATTGCAAAGAACTCCACTAAAATCTCGTTTTGAGTACATTCACTACAGCAAATTACACTTTCATGTTCTCAATTTCCAAAACTAGTCATCGGTTAAAAGTGGCTCCTGATAGTTAAATGATTTACATGTGTCATTACCATTAACTAGGTGTTAGTCCCGTCCGATGGACGGGGAATGCATATATATTTAGACATTTTTACATAAATTTTGTATTTTTATAAAATATGTAATAACTTTAGTTTTAAACATGATTACCTCTGGATTTACAGGAATTTATTTTTTTTAAATGACATTTTAAATTCACTGGTGATAAGGTTTATGCAGATCTCTCTAAAATTTATTAGGATTTGGTACTCTCTCCAATCAATTTCTGTGTTAGGATTTGGTTCATGAAAATAAGGGTTCTGTTTTTATTATTTTGTTTTTTTATAATTATTTTAGTTGTTTTTTTTTTTGGTTTTATTATTTTGTTTTGTGTATTTTTAAGTCTAAGAAATTAAAAAAATACCACATAGGATTTAATTCTATATGGCATGTGCTCCATGCCTTTAGTTTTCTCTCTCTAATTTTTGCCTTAGTATAGTATACAGAATAGATAGATAGATAGATAGATATAGATGCTGACGATCTATTCAAATAGTAAGTGAACCAATTCGAACAAGTGATTAAATACGAACAACTAATTAGTGTCCGCCGAGACTAAACACAAAAAATTTCATAGAAAAGATTTTCGCCATATTTGGAAGGGGAATTTTTTTTTTTTTTTTTTTTTTGAGAAACAAGAATTTCATTAAGTTGTTGGGAAACCGCCCAACACGGAATGAGGTACCAAGTAGGGAATGGTATCCCAATAATTCTCAAAATCTTTTTTCGATTTTGCGAATTGAGCAAGGCCATGGGCTGCTACATTAAACCTAGTACTAATCCACTTGCAGTTGAAGTCTACTACTCCTTGAAACCTTGCTTTGATGTCTGATATAATGAGGCCCCAGTCCGACAAGTCTGCGTCGTCGGAACTTAGTTTGTGGATGATCGTCGATGAGTCACCAATTAGGGTGAACTCACTAATGCTTGCTAGACCAACTGCTTCCCGAGCCGCCATAGATTTTATGAGAATAAACCCTTGTATGATTTAGTGTAGCATCCAACAAAACCAGTAGTTGAGTTCCAAATCCAGATTCCCACGGATGAGGTCTTCCTTATTTGGTTCGTCCCTCCATCAAAGAAGATGCCAATACCATTCAGAAGTTGAAGGAGTTTTATGGCTTTTCCTTTGGTTTTGGTATGAGGAAGTGATGTAGTTGGGCTTTGTTCCAAGCATCGAGTAGTGACCTACTCATCTTCAGTATTGAGGAGGCCTGATATTCATGGTTCTCGAAAATTAGTAAGTTCCGAGCCAACCATATGTTGTAAGATATTGAGGCAAACAAACTTAGATAGTTTACAGGGAGAGCGGTGATGAGATCCATAAGGCGGCATCTAGTGTCAACATGGTTTGATTCGTAAATTTTGCACCTTAGTTCAGTAGACAGCCATATTTCCCTTGATATTTTGCAGTCGAAGAAAATGTGTCTCATATCTTCTTGCTTCCCGCAGACTTTGCATCGACCGCTACAGTCCACTTTCCTTCGTTGGAGGTTTGTTTGGGTAGCTAGTGAGTCAGTAACCATTCTCCACAGATGATGCTTAGCCTTAGGTATTATATCTATACTCCATAGTTTCCGCCAGACAAAGGAGGTCTCTTCCAAGTTTGAGGCACTTGCAATCGGCTTGTTTTGAAACCCTGGGTGTGATTGTAACACTCTGTACGCGCTGGACACAGTGTATTTACCATGGGTTGAGTAGTGCCATACCCAAAAATCTTTTTTCGCTGGATAGGCTTAGGGTAATGCTTGTTATTGTGTCCACCTCCTCTTGCCAGAACAAGTGCTGGAGGAGTTTAGTGTTCCATGTGCAAGTGGTGCTGTCCAGAAGGCTACTAACAGTGGTAGCTCCAGCGAACGGGCTCATTGGACTGCTAATTTTGAAGTTCAAGGGTTTTGGGAGCCAGGGATCGCCCCAGATGTCGACTGTTTTTCCTTTTCCGATTTTTTCTTGACAGCCAGCTTTTAGAGCGTTCGTCCCCTGAAGAATGCTTCTCCAACTAAAGGAAGGTCTTGAACCGAGTTTTGCATTCATGAAGCAGCCGTTTGGGAAGTAGTGTGCCTTCAGTACTCGGTATAGCATTGAGTGAGTGTTCATGAGAAGCCTCCACGCCTTCTTTCCAAGCAGTGCCAAGTTGAATATTTTCAGATTTTTGAAACCAAGACCGCCTTTAGCTTTCAGCTTACACCGAGAGTCCCATGTTACCAATGGATTTTCTTCTTGTTAGCCGTATCTCCCCACCAGAAATTTGCTAGGAGTGAATCAATTTCGTCGCAAATGCCATCTGGGAGAAGAAAGCAGTTCATGGCATGTGTAGGAATTGATTGTGCGACTGATTTGATTAACACCTCTTTACCAGCTTGTGAGAGACTTTTTTCGGCAAACCCTTCTATTTTCCTCCGGATTCTATCTTTGATATCATTGAATATTTCCTTTTTCTGCCTAACTATGACTGATGGTAAGCCTAGGTATTTTCCATGCAATTCAACACGTTTTATTCCCAGGCGGTATGCTAGTTCTATAGCCAAGTTTTCAGGGGTATTTCGGCTGAATAGAATTGCAGATTTGTCCAAGTTGATGAGCTAGCCCGACAACTATTCATAAAGTTGTATGATGACTGAGAAAGCATCGATTTCCAGCCTTATCACACGCCCACAAAGTAGTGTATCGTCGGCAAAGAAGAGGTGAGTGATGGAAGGTGTTGTCGGGGCTACTTGGGCGCCTTGTAAATTCCCACATCTTTGTGCTTCCTGAATCATCAAAGAAAAAACTTCCGCGCAGATGATGAAAAGATAAGGGGATAAAGGGTCCTCTTGTCTTAATCTTCTTTGCCGGGTTAGTGAACCAAATTCCTGATTATTTAACAGAAAAGAGAAAGATGTAGAGGTAAGGCATTTTTCAATAAGGTGAATATACACTCTTGACTGAAACCTAGAGCTTCCATTACTGACAACACAAATTTCCATTCAACCAGATCGAAAACCTTACCCATATCTAATTTAATAGACATGAGGCCTTCTTTCTCGGATGTTTTTTTGCAAATTGTATGATGAAGTTTTTGGGCCACGAGTATGTTATTCGTGATAAGTCTTCCCGGCGATTTGGTTGGATGCATTTGATTCAAAGCCTGGTTGGAAGGGGAATTTGTTAGGCTCTTATTATAAATTATTTCCTTTTAATGAAATATTTATTTTCCATTTCCACTTATCTAAATTTTTCCAAAAATAGAAATAATAATTAAGCTATTTCTTCATCATCGGCTAGGTATTTTTAGTATTATCATTTTGTCTTAGAGTTTTTAAGAGAAGGCGGCTAAGAGGAATCCACTTACCTTTCTTTTGTTATGAACACGAATCCACTAACCTAAAAGCTAAAGAAATGGACGTAATTATGCTGTAAACCTACCAAAATTGACTTTTCCATGAACAGCGGATATGAATAATTGATTACCGAATTTTTTATTAATTAAAAGAGAAAAAGGAATTAAGAAAGTTAAAAACCGGACACGACGAAAATAATGGAAGAAATTATTGTCAGCGGTTCTGTTCTGGTTGCTGGATGCTATTTTTATACTATAAAATTATGTCAATATTGTCCGCTCCATTTGAACGTTGCGTCATTCTGCTCCAACGCTACAGGCTTCAGCTGTGGATAAGTACTGATTTTTTTTCCCCAATAATTCAGGCCCAAGAGTCTCTCAGCTAGCACATAAAACTCTCTCAATAGCCATATGGCAGGCACCTCACTACTTGCAGCAGCATGCAAAAGGTATGTACTTTGTTAGCTACTCTAATCTAGAGTTTGATTGATTATGTGTTTTTGATTTTCATATTAAAATTTGATCCATCCGTAAGTTGAATATTTAGTGTATTGATTTGATGGCGATCTTTATTGAACTGTAATGTACCTTTTGATTTTGATGGCGTCGCTTTTAGTCATGGAGATGGAGGACTAATATTAGTACTTCTGGAGATCGTGACTTGAGCACTGATAACTGTGGTCCAAATTTTGAAGGCTAGAAGGAAAGGTAGCATTGATCACAGGAGGAGCTAGTGGAATTGGAGAATGCACAGCCAAACTCTTCTCAAATCATGGTGCTAAAGTTGTCATTGCTGATATTCAAAATAAACTAGGACAATCATTGAGCCAGAAATTAGGTTCATCAGATTGTACATACGTCCAGTGTGATGTAACCAACGAAGATCTTATCAGAGATGCTGTTGATAAAACCATCCAATCCTACGGAAAATTGGACATTATGTTCAACAATGCAGGGATTGTTGATGATCCAAGCTACCCCTCGATCCTTGATACTGAAAAAGCCAAATTTGAACGGATAATGGGAGTAAATGTAACAGGGGTTTTTCTTGGGATGAAACACGCAGCTCGGGTGATGATTCCAGCTCGAAGTGGATGCATAATTTCGACCGCCAGCATAGCATCGGGAATCGGCGGATCTGCACCGCACGCTTACACTTGTTCCAAGCATGCGGTTGTAGGCCTGACCAGAAATTTGGCTGTGGAACTTGGGAAATATGGTATCAGGGTCAATTGCTTGTCACCTTATACTGTTGAAACCCCACTTTCTACGAGCTTTGTTGGGCTTACTGGAGCCGAGTTTGAGCATTCCGTAGGTTTAAAGTCCAACCTTAAAGGCATTACTCTGAGGGCTGATGATGTTGCTAAAGCAGCCCTTTACTTAGCAAGTGATGATGGTCAATGTGTAAGTGGACAAAACCTGTTCATTGATGGTGGCCAAACCATATTCAACTCTGCTTGTAATATGTTTTCATAATGAAGAACCTTGTGATTGATAACATAATATGACTATTAGCATTTCTATGTTTTATGAATACAACACTTTATCTGTGAATTCTACACTTGGCTTCTTGTATAGCTGGAAAGGAGAAGCGATACTAACAAATGTTTATTAGTAGGCCGAATAAGTGTACACACAAATTGAATAAAAATACGTCAAAATTCAAATTGTACATGTATTTAGTAGCCGCCAGGTGTGACTATTCATTTGGATTGAAGAACTGAGCCCAGGCATTCACCATTGAAGGATTGACAACAGTGAAACCTCCATCTACAACAAGGTTGAGACCGCTAACATAACCGGCTTCGTCACTGGCCAGATACAGAGCAGCCTGAGCAACATCTTCCGGTGTCAATGTTTTGCCTTTCAGATTAGCCACCCCATTCACAAACGCATTTGATCGCTCAATTTCCTCTTGTGTGGAATTCCCTCCACAGATGGGGGTTGCCACGGCGAAAGGCGAAACAGAGTTCACCCGAATTCCGTACTGCCCGAGCTCGGCCGACAAGTTCTTCGCCAGGCCGGCAATTCCGTGCTTGGTGATCGAATACGCGTGGCTCGAGAACCCGGCGAGGTTGACACACGCGCTGGCGGTGAACAGAATGCATCCATTGCGGCGGGGAATCATGACTCTCGCAGCGTGCTTGGCTCCTAGGAAAGAGCCAACGACGTTAACGCTGAGGAGGCGTTCTAAATCCGGCTTGGAAGTCTCCAGGATGCCCGAAAAAAAGCCGTCAACGATGCCGGCATTGTTGTACATTATGTCCAATTGCCCGAATTTGGCCACCGCGGAATCGACCAGGTTGATAACTTCATCTTCCTTCGAGACATCGCAATGGATGTAGCATCCATTTTCGCCCAGCTTTGAGGCGATTGCTTGGCCGAGATCGTCTTGGATGTCGGCTATGACAACCTTAGCCCCGTTTTCATAAAACAGGCGCACGGCGGCCGCTCCAATTCCGCTGGCACCGCCAGTAATGATAGCCACTTTGCCATCTAACCTGCAATTTAAGAATCGGAACAAAACGCGATCTTGGTTAGTTACAGCTACAGTAGGCTATTTTGGGCAACTTAATTAGGACAAAATCACTGATGGATGATGGTTCACAAAAGTATAACTGATACATGTATCACGATATTGCTAACCTTTTGCTGAATGAAGAGGCTGAAGGATTAGTACTTGTCATCTCTTTGGGGGTGTGTGCGTGTGTGAGCGCGCGCTCCGAACCGGAATGAATCGAACTCCTTGGGACCTAAAACAGAGTTTCTGTTATTAGGAAATAGAGGAAAGGAACGCTACATCTTCTGTCTGGACCTAGAACATATAAATAGATGCCAAAAGCCCCCCAAGAACCATCTGGTTGACAAAGGAGTAGTAGTTTGAATGGTCAAAAGTGACGACTACTTTGAGATTCCATTTTTTCCCCTCTCTGGATGTTGATTGAAGAGGGTCTCATTCTAAAAACAGGTAGAAGGTTAATTAATTTTAAGCCGTAAAATAAGCTATACTAGTAGTATAATATAATCACGAATTAAGTTCATACCTAAACAAGCATTTAACATGTGCGGCGCCCTTTTCAATATTATTATTGCCCACTCCTCCCACCCTCCTTCGGCGTTCGTCAATTATTATTATTGTTATTTTTTTGGAGAGGAGGGTACTGAACGTAAGAAGAGAGGGGCTATGGTTCTTAATTTTAAAGTTTTAACCTTGCAATTAGTGGTGTGCAATTGAATGGGGATGAGTTGGTCCTGGTGCTTGATTCAAATAATCCCCCAAAAGAAGGAGTGGTCAAAAATAGTTTAAGAATGGGGAGTGGCCAAGAGTATGAATTTCGAATTTTTGAAATTCATTTTAAGCTTATATCAAATTTCAAAAATTCGATTCTCATTCACATTCAAAGTTAAAATTGGATTTTAAAAATTCGTTATTCATACTTTTGGCCAATTCCCAATTCTTGAACTATTTTTAGCCACTTCAAATTTCCTTGATTATTTTTTGTCAAAAACTCCCTGCTCTACATCCTTTCTAGCTGGAATTAATGAGATCTTTTTTGAGTAAAGAAATTAATGAGTTTGGACATGCATATCATACTCTTTCAGTCCACATAACATTTTAAGATTTATATTAAAAACAATATCAATTTCAAAACTCAACGTAGACTATTTTTTAAAACGGGTAGAGTAATATAGATGTCCGTCTTGAATGTTCATCGGAATCACGGACCACGTGGTAGTACATATATTTAAGGAGGGGGAATGTATCGACCTGGGTCGGTCGCCCTTAAATTGACCATTTGATCGCCGGCCTACCATCTCAAAACAGGGCGACTCTTTCATTAGGCCAAATAACTAGACTGATATAATGGTTGCTTGATTAAAACGGTAGACATAACAACCGGACGTTGTATTTTCGTTTCGAACAAATATTGCTGTTACTCAAATTTGGAATTGCGTAATCATGTTAAACTGAATCAGGTTCAGTGAAACAATCATCCTCATCCCCTAACAAACTTTCGTTGTCAAATCTACAAAGAGTCCCGTGCCGATTTGTTCCAGTGTAGCACTAAAATCATCACAAAGACTACAAAGAGGAAAAGGGATACATTGGCTTTTTGATCTGTTAGAATAGTTTGAACATAATGAACTAAACCAGGAAGAGTTGAGAGGGACCCCAATACTCAATTCCGATTTACGTGGATGATGTGATCCAACAATTGGATTAGTTTGGACGTCGGTGTACTATTATGTTGCAGGGGAGGCTTAAGCGCCTTTAACAGTGTAGCATTTGGAGATGTGGCTTGTATCATATTGCAGTTACAGCTTAAATTAAGCAAAACCGATAAATTGTAATTGCATTTTTACCGTGGACTGTTTTTCCTTAATATAGTGGAGAACGTAAAATCTTGAAATATCAAACCATCGCATGAGTAAAGAACACCGAGCAACAATTTTAATCTACTCAGCTGATCAAATACTACTACCTCTATCCCAAAAATAAATAAATAAATAATAGTTCACGTTAAATTTACAAATATATATTTAAAAGACTACAAAATTCAAAACTCAACATGAATATTTTATTTTTGGGGCAAATGGAATAATTTAGCAATCTGCGGTTCCAAATTTGGGCTCTCTCCCTGATTTTATACCTTTGCCATTTTAAAAATAAATTACATCTATTTCAAAATGTAGGTCGTTTTAAGTTTGGAGAAATATTTTAAAATATAGATCGCTTTAGAATTTCAAGGCAAATTAAAAATTAACTTACCAACTTTGCTCCCAATAAATGATGTTAACCACTTTTTATCTAGTTTGTAGTTATAGTTCCAAAGCAATTAATGATGGGTAAAATAGATATAAAAAAATGACTTAGATATTGAAATGGAGGGAGTATGAGATATAAAGTAAGATCAGTTTACAGTTGCATAACAAGGTCTCCATCTTTTTTAAGATTCTGTTTGTTATAAAAGTAAAGCAAGTTAAACGATTATTTCGGACAGTAAAATAGTACTCATTTTGGAATTCTTCACATAGGGTACTTATCCATAATTAATCATGGTCTATTCATGTGGGCAAAACCTCCAATCATGGACGGATTAACGACGCTGAAACCTCCATCAACCACCAGGTTCAGTCCACTAACATAGTTGGATTCATCACTAGCCAAATACAATGCCGCACGAGCAATATCATCCACTGTCAGAATATGGCCTTTGAGATTGCCCACCTCACTCAACTGCATCTCCGCTTGCTTACGTGCTTCTTCCGAAAGAGGAGGTCCTTTGGTGATACCAGTGGGTATCCCATACGGTGAGACGCAGTTCACCCGAATTCCATACGCCCCAAGCTCAGCAGACAGATTCTTCACTAAACCCCATATCCCGTGTTTCGTCACGGCATACGCGTGAGTCGCCATTCCAGCGATGCTCACACACGCGCTGGCGGTGAACAAGATGCATCCCTTCCGCTCCGGTATCATCACTCTCGCGGCGTGTTTGGCCCCCAGGAAACCACCCACCACATTAACTCCAAGAAGCTTCTCTAAGTCGGACTTGGAAGATTCCACAATACCCCCGGAAACGCCGTCGATGATGCCCGCGTTGTTGTACATTACGTCGAGATGGCCGTGTTTGGCTACGGTGGTGTCGACCAGGTTGATTACGTCATCCTCTTGGGACACATCACAGTGGATGTAGCTTACGTTTTCGCCGAGCTGATCGGCGATTCCTTGGCCTAGATCATCTTGGATGTCGGCGATCACAACCTTAGCTCCGTTTTCAACAAACAGCCTCACGGTGGCTTCCCCAATTCCGCTGGCGCCACCGGTGATTATGGCCACCTTTCCATTCATCCTGAAAAAATATTGATTCAATATCAGATGGCAAAATGTGGGATTATTAAATATATTACTCTCTCTGTCCCAAAATTATTATGAAATTTGAGATTTCACTTTTAGTACTATTTAAATTAAAAATGAAAGTCCAAACTCCACAATAATTTTGAGACGTGGGAACATTAACTTAACAAGTACTGCACAGGTTAATAAGAACATGTTGAAATGGATGATATGCACACATAATCAAATCCTACATTATTTTCTTCGGAAATAATCATGCATCTAATCAACGCCTACCTTTTGCTGTTGGGAGAAGCGACTGAGGGATTATCAGCCATACTGAGATACCCATGTCAGTGGAGAAAGAAAATTGAGTGTACTTTATATATAAGATCGGCACTCTTTTTGGTGAGTCAGTCAGTCTCTTCTCTTTGAGGAGAGTGGGGCCTCATGGAGAAAACAAAGACGGTTAATTACTCCACTATTACCGATCTTTCTGTTTGGTTTGTTGCTACATTTCTGATGACGTAAACTTTGGATGCACTTTTTGCAAAATTTGTATCAGCATGTGTTGTAGTAATTATGTTTACAAAACAAAAAATTTTTCTTTTTCATTGCGTTAAAAATAAGTGACAACATAAAACACAAAAACAATATTTGTCAGTCAGAATATCCAAGCGTATTTTAGAGTTTTCCTTTTCTGTTTGGTTGGGGCATAGAGGACATTACGGGCTGGGCATAGTGCGAAGTGCGAGCAGAGTAAGTTTTGACAGAATCAACAAATATAATTACTCGTTGCGACTGAAAGAGCGACCAACGCAAGTACTGGGGAACGAGATTTGGTAATGGCTATCCGAGATCTTTTACGGAGGTCATGGACTGTGAAACGGAATTTCTCTCCGAGTTCTTTAGCCGGGTTAGCTGCTTCAACCCTGGTGGTGTTATTCGGTTGGATGATCTACTTTCAAATGTAAAGTCATAGTTATATCATGATTTAATTGATATCTTATACTAATTTGCTGTAATCATCTAGTTTTTCTTAGGCTTTTGCCTCTTTCATTGTACCAAAAAAAAAAAAAACACATAACTTGAAAACATAACAAGTATTGTAAATTTTTTTAATTTTTTTAGTACAAATAAGGAGGCTAAAGTCTGACAGAGAAAAAATTAAGTTAAGATATTTTGTGGATAGGAGACACCGATAAATATCATGTTCCAACCACATTATTATTCCGGACAGTGGATCGTTAATCCAATGCAAGTTTACTGGATAGCTTGTTACAAATTTTTTACAATGAAATCCAATCCAATGCTCCAAATTTTTGTTTTACAATAAAGGAAGTCAAAACCTAAAATACTATAATATTAACTATCATCTTTCGTGAATGGAAAAACTTTGACAAAATTATATTTCAACCTAATTCTTACACATAATTATTCAATAACTTAAGTAATATCTCACTATGAGCTTTCAACTTTTCCTGGTCTTGCAAGTTTTATAGGTCAAACCGCGCAACAAGTAAGCAATCATCATATTCAGTACTCATATGAATAATTAGACGTCCAAACTTTTAATCACTACCATCCAATATAACAATTTTTACAAATGCCACATTAGTTATTTTTCCATTTCACAATAAGCTAGTTTTCATTATTTTTATCATTTTGCAACAATATAAATATCTTTTGGATTTTGAGTGAACGAGTTACACTATACCTTTTTGTTCTTTATTACTCTATCTGTCCCAAAATTATTGTTCAATTTGAAATTTTATTTTTAATACAAATTAAATTAAAAGTGAAAGTTCAAACTAGCCAATAATTTTAAGACAGAGGAGTACTAATAACAGAGAGACGCAAAAGTCTATACTAATCAAACTAAAACATTCTGCAGATGGTAAAATCAAATAACGTTCAATAATTCCAATCACGATCTAATCTCAAAAAAAAAAAAGATTATATAATCTTTGCGAACCCGTCAAAGTCATCACTACTATAGTTGTCAAATTAGGTGTTAGACCCATCCGATGGACGGGGAGCACATATACATAGACATTACTACACAAACAAATCAAAAAAATGTTAATATTTGTATAAATTTTTGTATTTTTATCAAATATATAATGAATTTATTAAAAAATATAAAACACAAACATCGACAACACTTTATCAAACGAATACACTGGTAATTTATTTAACGCAAAAAAGATTGTTAAGAAATTAAAAAAAAAATTTGAATTAAATAATTATATATCTTGCAATATTTCTTGGTAGACTACATTGGTAGTCTGGAGTAGAAAGGTCGGCTAGGGTGGTTAAGAAATTATGATAAAGAATTTTTATTTTTTATTTTTTTGAAAAGGTTTATGATAAGGAATGGTTACTACAGAAACAACAACCCTAATTTGTTGTAGAGGCCATCCAATTTTTTAACAAGAAAAATTAAAAAATAAAAAAAGTTGGATATCAGGACCTTTATTCCTTGTTTCGGAGTGACTTTTAATTTCAGTGGTTTTATTTTATTATTTTCTTTTTTAAATATGATGCATTCTCACTTTCCTTCATTTTTTATTTTTTAGCCTCATTTGTTCGTTTGATTTAGTTATTTCTTATAACCTATCTAATAATTTATCTTTAATTAACGTACCCGTTGTCAGATATGTTTTATTTAAAATGTGAGAATGGGACTATTTTTTTACCCTTAAAGAATATCATTTACCTATTTTTTTCTTCATTAATATCTTTCTAAACACTTTCGCAAATGTCAAATCTATCCTACTCATTTTTTTTTTCGAATTAAAGTTAGACTTTTTAAGAAAACAATTATAAAATTTGGTTCAAGAAATCATAAATTTGCCACATAATATTTAGTCATATGTGGCATGATACGATACCTTAGATTTTCTCTCTCTGGAGTTTGCTTTACTATAATATATATATATATATATATATATATATACTTCTTTTCTGGAAAAAAAAAGAACAAAAAATTAAGAGCCCAACATTTAGCCGCATAGACCCCTTAATATTTGTTGAAAACACAAAACATTTAGCAGTCACAGACGATTAGACAAATAAATTTATCTTATTAAAAAGCACAAATATTTTTTTAGGAAACAGAAACTGGAATTAAAAAAATTAAGTAGATAACCAATTCAACAGTCATTGTACTATTGTTGGAATGTAGTGTGCATCAGAAATCTATGTAAATTTTCAATGGAATGATGAGCACAACCTGAACTTGAAATTCATTACCAATATTAGCTAAATAGGGGTAATAATTAAACTATTCTAGATTTCAAAACAAATAGCACCGTTAGAATCATGATTTCATCAGCATTCAAGAAGAACCATTTCGTCAGAATTCAAAACCGTTTCCTGATTCCGTTTCTGCATGACAAAACAAACAGCTTCTCAGCTATTTTGCTTTCTATCCATCTTCAGACCATTTTTGAGAGATCCCGAGTGTTGAGACCTCCTTACTTAGCGAGTAGTAGTTTATTCATGTATAAATTAGTATATTTATTTCTAATGTATATACATTTTGCCATTTAGGTTCAAGAAAGATAAACTAAAAATTTGGATTTCAAAACGTTAAAAAAGAAGAAGAAAGAATAGCCATAATTTAAGCTTTTCAATATTTTTATTCTTTACCAGAGCCATTCTTAGTTCCACTACATTAACCCATCACCATAGTATTTTAGCTTAATTTCATATTTGAAGCTAAATTATAGAAGTTTCAGGTTGGCCTAACTTCATTAATTATTATAATGAATTATTAATATAAAATTCTTTTTCAGTTGCGTTTTTTTTAGGAGGAAGAGATCCGTCCATCGGATTTGTAGGGATTTGGTCGAATCAATATAGGGTTTGGATTTTTTCAGTTGCGTTTTTTTTTAGTTTTTATTGTTTTATTTTGTGCATTTTTATATTTAAAAAATTAAGAAAATGCCACATAGGATAAAATCTAATGTGGCACGTGCTCCTTAACTTTAAATTTCTCTCTCTGGTTTTTGTCTTAATATAGTATATAGATAGATAGATAAGTAACTTCTTTTTTTTCACTTTTTTGCCATATAGAAGCTTATTTCTTATATCGACTACTATTAGCTACAGAGCTACATAAGACCGTCAACTTCGTATCAGAATGTTATTTTGGATTGTTTATTTAGAGTCACGGAGGTGCCGTATGTCGTTATACTACATTACTTCTACTTTGGTCCTATGTTTTGAAAATCGATCCAATCGGGTTATTAACTTGACTGATTTGACCGGTCAGCTCGGTCTTGGCAACCATTAAAAATCAGTTATATATAAAGAATATTAAAAATTATCTTTTCAAAAATTTTAAATTTGGTTCAATCAGTCTTGTTTCCAAATCAAATCGTGATTCTGTCCCAATTTGATCAATCCTGTGAAACTGATTTTATATATATAGATCGAACCAAAAAGGCATCTAATTTCCGATTAGATTGGCCGGACCAGTCCGATTTTAACAATCTATCTTTGATCTTGAGCATGGCTTGCTAGGTCAATGGAACTCATGTTTACGAAGTTTAAATTTGTGAAGCTAAAAACCAACTAATTTTGATTTTTTTCTATATTAAAATGATTATTTATTTTAAATTTTCACTTTTATGCAATTTAATTATCTTGCAAATGAAACTCCAAAATGCACAACTATATCATAACTGAAGGAGTATATAATAGCATCCTATTTCGATTGTCACATATTCGAAACTAAAATCATTCTTTATTTAAAATTTCACTAATTTGGGTATGCAAACTCGCTCAATGTATATTTTATATTTGTTCAATATATTTTTTAGTATCTTATTGATTTAGTGTTTTCAGCATTTTCATGAATGAATTGATGTCACAACAGTGGTCATGTAATCTTAACTTTTTTTTCCCCATATTTTTAGGGTGAGACAGTTGACCTGAAAATTTAACATTGTTTCATGTCAATTGCAATATCCGAACACTTTAAATAACACTTGATTATAGTGTATATAATCCTAGAAATCATTTTCTTTTCTAGAGATGTTAAAGAAAAAATTCCGACGCTTTAGTAACAAAAGAAATTAATTTAATTTTAGGGAATAAGAGTTGAACAAACAGTTAATCGTCTCGGATCTTTGATTCTCTGGTCTCCTGCATCTTTTGATTCTCTGGTCTCGGCCATCGATCGCCGCCATATCGTCCTGGTCCAGCCCCTATGGCAGTAACCTCCGATCGATCCATTGGCTGGCGCCAACTAATTAAATTTATTCTTTAATGCATTATAATTAAGAGGACCAAAGGGAAATCGGCAGCAAAGTGGCAAACTTATTATAACAAATTAATTTTTTACCAAGTAACATGGTACCTCATTATAATACAAAAACCTTACTTTTGCGTCTATAGAGGCGTGGCATTAAAAAAATGAATTCGTTACACACCGGCCAAATAATTGAGCAATTTGGATGAGAGTGGCTGATTAAACAACTACATTAGAACCTCATTCTTGCACCTTCCGATTTTGATTTGACGTAAACTACGTGAAACACAAGAGATCACATTCACACGTTGAGGCCCCCGTCAATTAACTTAGATGATAATTACTGCATGCTTCACTGTCCCAGAGATTCACTTTATTACTATACATTATGTATTTGTACAATAAGTTTATTTTTCCTCTTATTCGTTTAGCGTAATTATCGGAATTTGATTAGTATATATTTTCTTGTTCTAAAATGATTGTGACATTTAATTTTTATTTTTAATTCAATACATTTACTTTGGGACAGATAGAATACATCATTTATATTTGGTACTCCATGTCTCTAATTTTGATCAGATTCTTTGCCAGAAAACCCGCTGACAATATCTCTATTTATACATTTGTTAGGTCCAGCCTGGTTGTTTATTTTATTATTCACGAAATCTGATTTCAGAGATTCTGGTTCTAATTAATTAATGCAAAAATGTAGTCTGGCACGCCCATATGGTCCTCTTAATTATTAAAAAGATAATTACTTATGCATGCCTTTCCTCCGTCACACCCTACCTTTATTACTTGGGTGCCTATTAATAGAGCCGACTTGATTCAATAGTTTTAGCATCTCAAAACAGTCATTCTAATTAAAGCACACAAACCCTCTAGATCTAAGTAGAACTAGCTATAGCCATGGCAAGCTCGTCGTCTCTACTGTCCGCAGCATGCAAAAGGTATGTACCCACTTTAATTTAATTTCTGTAGTTAATCCTTTTTAGCGCATAAACTGCAGCACTTACCATTAATTCTCTCATAGGGTTATCGTGTTTGGAGTATTTAATGAATTAATTTGGTGTTAACTAATAATTACAGGTTAGAAGGAAAGGTGGCTTTGATCACCGGAGCCGCGAGTGGGATAGGTGAATGCACGGCGAAGCTGTTCTCCAAACACGGGGCTAAGGTTGTCATTGCAGACATCCAAGACAACCTCGGACACCCATTAACCAAAACCTTAGGGGAAAACAACAGCACCTACGTTCACTGTGACGTAACCAACGAAGATCAAGTCAAAAATGCCGTTGACAAAACCATCGCAACCTACGGGAAACTGGACATCATGATGAACAACGCGGCTTTTATCGATCGAAAGAACACCCGGATCTGGGACAACGAAACCTCGGACTTTGAGAGAGTACTCAAAGTTAACGTCACGGGTGTTTTCCTCGGAATGAAGCACGCGGCCCGGGTGATGGTTCCCGCGCGTAGCGGTTGCATCATTTCCACCGCCAGCATGACCTCCGGGATGGGCGGCGCCGCCACCCATGCTTATACTTGTTCCAAGCATGCTGTTTTAGGGCTGACGAGGAATCTGGCGGTTGAGCTTGGGAGATATGGGATCAGAGTCAACTGCCTGTCCCCAAATATCATGCAAACTCCTCTGGCCAGGAAGTTTATGGGGAGTGAGGGAGCTGATTTTGAGAAATCCTTAAGTTTGCATTGGCAGTCAAACCTTCAAGGCGTCAGTCTCGGGGTTGATGATGTCGCCAACGCGGCTCTTTACCTAGCAAGCGATGACGCCAAGTGTGTGAGTGGGCACAATTTATTTATTGATGGCGGACAAAGCATTTGTAACTCCGGCAGCAATATGTTCGCCGAATCTGAGCCCGCCCAGCCTCATTATATATGAATCCGAATTGAGAGTAATATGTATTCCATCAGCAACTTTTGGAAAGTGTGATCTCAATTATGCTCTGGAATGTTGTTGGAATTTGAAATAAATTATTGTTTTACGATTTACAGTCTACGTGAGAGTTCAACACAATAAACACTTGTCTCTAAAATATATTCTTCCATCCATCCAACAGCCAAGTCGAAGTATTTCTTCTTATGTAATTAGAGCCATAAACATCATATAAATTGTACCCCTAAAAGATTCTACTTTATTTCTCTTTTCTTACCTTCCTTTCACCACCATACAATTGAGACCTCTCTTGAGTACAAAGTCAAGAGTCAATATCACTTCATCTGCTCGTTCTAAAGTGATACAACTTTAGTTTCCAAATATATACTTTCTGCATTGAACTTTAACCCTGTAAAAATTAACAATAACTAAACAAATTACATATTAGTGTTGGAACAGCTATGTCGAGGGTAAATTCCAAAGACGTGGAGTCAACGGTCAAACCCAAACGCGGACCTGCAAGACAAGGGTTAGCACTCTGAAGATTAAATTAGTATTAGAGAGAGAAGCAGCCAATTAACACACTTAGAGAGAGAAATAGAGTGTGGAATTGAGTTTGCAATCAATGATCATGTGATATTTATAGTTCCCAATAGGAAAATACCTGTGGGCCTCGCTACTCGGGGGGCAAAACCTTAATTAATAGTAGATAGCAGCCACACAAAAGGAACTTAACCACTTAAAGACAAGATGGCCCGTTTGGGCCTCTACTAAAGCCCAAACTTCGGCTCTCTTTGGGCCAGTCAGGATTAACCTACTACAAGTTAGAACCAAGTATTCAGATAATAGTAACCGTATTTTGAATGGTCAAATTAAAATACAAATACTTTGGGATCCATGTTTTCCACTCTAGTGATGCTAATTAAAGATATTGTAATAATCATTTTTGTTATGAATATCATCATATATATATATATATATAATCGAAGTTTAAGTTTGCATTTTCACTGAAAACACGCAAGAAATAGCAGTACAGCATGTAGTTATAGTCCTCGGCTTTAACCTAAACTTTATATTTGCGTTTATTAAAAGTTCGTATTGGTTACTAACCTGATGTTTTGAAATTTTTAGAATTAAGTAAATAGAGTATAACAAGAAGTTAGATTTATACACAGACAAAATGAGCGGCCATCTTAATGTTACCCGCTTTCCACGTCGCAATCCTCGTTCCTCAGGCCTCTTCCGCCAAATCAATAGCTAGACTGACCTACAGTCCTGCACGCGGCTAGATGAAGAAGCGCTTAGGACCGTTAGGTCACCCATCCAGATCGCTCGAGAACCAGGCCCAGAATATATTCAACTGGGTTTAGATGCTCATGAATGGGCAAATCACTCCAACTTATTCTCCCAAACTCAGCATTTTAGAATTAAATGATGATAATTGACAAGTTGACTTGCAGCGGGAAAAAATAACCGAATTTTCATCGACGAGCCTCATTTCTCAAATTTTTGTTTTTACTATTTTTTTTGGTGAAAAGGGGAATACGTACGTAGTTTCCAAGGTGAGCAATATTAAGGTTTAATTTTTAATACACTTTGTATGGTAAATGACAATAGAAACTAGACAATTTTATCTGTATGAATGGAGAATTCTTTTGGTGGATAATCGAGAATGGATGATTTGGTTAACAATTATTTCATGTGCTCATCGATCTGACCAGTTGTCCTTGGACAAATATGTCAACAAAAAAATTGGTCGGGTACTTGAGGAGGCGTTAGTTCCCTTCATTTCCTTTTTTTTTTTTTCATACATTAAAAGGAGGCAAGAGCCTAAAGACTTAAATTAAAATATTTCATGTATAGGAGACTCTAATTAAGTCGTGCTTCAGCCACTGTACTACTCCCAATGGTGGATCGTTGAGCCACTGCAAGCCCCCTGGACAAGTAGCAGCTAAGGATGCCAAGAAACCCGCCGAAAAGTTGGCTTCACGGAACCAATGTCTCACTTCAACTCTCCATTCCCTCCATTCCTTTCAATCGTTGATTTGCAAGTTTTTTTTACCACACAAGGGAAAACCTCACAAGAAAATATGATTACTACGTAATAAAGAACCAGAAGAGCAAGCAAAATAAAGAAAAATTCTGACTTAGAGCATTAACGCTTGCCAACTGCATTAGAACTGAGAACAAGTTGAAGGAGTTGCAGTGAGAAGCAGAAATCCAAAACTAGTAAGAACCATAATCACAACACTTACAAGAATTTGCTATTTAAACACTAGGCTACTTTATGAAGAAGCTGGATGGACATATCATCTAACGTCCGCGATGTTAAGCATAGCCTTGGTTTGGGCCTGCTCTACCAACAAACCATCACTAAGATACTTAGATAAAAGTTCCCTCTTCTTCTTTCCTAAAATCATTCTCTCAATCTCCTTCTCATCTGGCAAAGGAACATGTACCACAAATTCCTTCTCCTCCTCCTTGTCCGACAACATCCTCCTCTCTTCTTCTATTACATCTTCTTCCTCTTCACGTAAGATTCGTCGAGCTAATCCTACATCCCCGACCTTCGCAGCTTTTCTCGATGACTTCTTTGTTATATTTTCCATTTGCATCCATTCTTCAACTGCTTCAGCCCTAATCGTCTCTGCTGACAGCTTCTCTAACTTTTCTAGCATACCATCCTCATCATCTCTATACCCGTAATAGCTCGCATCAATCCTCTTATAAATGTCATACCTAAGACATTGGAGAACAATGTCAGAAACAAACACCACTTACGGGACAAAACATAACAGATACAGAAAAACAGCAGAAGACTCAGATTTTATTTAATTTGATCATGCGCGCAAATCAAAGCTTATACATGATCGATATTATGCTAAAAGAAAGATGGGAGATAACCAACATCATCAAAAGCTAAACAGCAAATTCAATTCGCTTGTTTTGAAACACAAACTACATCCATCTACATAATAAAAAAACGTCAACATACAAAAATTAAACTAAGTAATAAATATACATTACCTCGTTCGTCTTTTCCGCAACACTGGAGGCTTCTTAAACAATTCTTTAACACCGGGAAGCTCCTTCGCGGCCCCGAAATACCGATAACCAGGGCCACGTCCACCTGTGTTCAGAACATCAACAGTATTGCCTTCCAAATCCGTGATCTTGGCTGAAATCACCGTATAATTCGGCCCTCCGAGCTCGATAATCCTCCTCTCCCAGTGCACCTTTTCTCTAATCAACCTATTGATTTCATCGTTGAGCTCCCTAATATTGGTGGGATCAAGCCCTCTGTTCTGAATCTCAAGTACTTTCTGGCCGATTTCGCGCATGATTTGCTGACGCCATTTATCGGCTTCTGCTAAATCCCGGCATCCCGACGCTAAAAAAGGGCGGCGCTGTTTAGGTTTTGTCTTTTCCTCGGCCTTCATGGTTATAAACCTGTTAAGCAGAGATTTAGCTTTCTCCTCGTTTCTCGCCATGGTTGAACCTTAATTAGCAGGGGTGTATGGTTTTCCTAGGGTTTTTGAGAGACTGATTAATTCTCACTTCTGCAGACTAAACAGTGGAATTTGTAAGCGCAGGGAGAGCCAATTCGTGGTAGTGTAATTGTCACGTTTAACAGGTTTTTTGAGACTCGAATTATGCAAATCAATTTTGGGGATGGAGCTTCAGCGCGACCGTCAATTTTGGTATGCTCATAATCTGAAAGTTAATCCCTTAAGCTGATATTTAAACTACATCCAGACAATCCACTTTACCATGGGATTCGGGGCATCCTCATGGATCAGGAAGCCCGGTAAGCTTGGGCCCAAGCCCAAAAATAAATCCAGTCCTCCACGGAATTTGATTATACGGTATTGTTAGTTAACAAATCTATATCTGTATCTTAAAATGAGAGTTTTCAAGAGTCCATATCCAGTGCATTCGGGTATACTTAACATTTTTCACCTTTACATTAAATGCTGTACTTGCATTTTTTTTACTGGATAATCACTATAAAACATTCGGATAATCAGGTGTAACAAGTTGGATAACTAGTAAAAAGATCCTGGATAACCATTACAAACGGTTGGATATTGGCTGGACATTGGCTGGATAACCAGTACAAAAGTTCTGGATAATCAATACAGAGTATTGGATAATCAGTTTACATCTTCTGGATAACCAGTTTACAACTTGTGGATAACCAGTACGACATGTTAATTGGGGGGCTTCACCCCCCATGATAAACTAAACGACTCCCGTGGCTACCGGAATCGCAAGTCACCAACCTGCCCCGGTTGCGCCGCCCCGCCGAACACGCCAATATAGCTAAGGTAATCCTTTTTTCGTGTGTGTTTGGAGAGTGTGTGTGTAAGGAGAGTGTGTTATTGCGTTAAAAGGGAGCACAAATTATTTGTATAAATCCCCCCGTGATAAACTAAACGACCCGGCTGCGCCGCCTTTCGCGGCTGTGCCGCCCTCATGCCGAACATGACAAATTTCATAAATAGTATTTAATTGAATGAGGGGAAGTTTGCCAAATGATGGAGAACGAAAAATGAATGAGGGGCAGCTGGATAACCAGTATAAACATACGGACAAGGATATTCAAGAAAAATATAAAAGGAAAAAAATGAAATTTGGCAACTGGTTATCTAGCTGTATGTAACTGTTATCCATAATGTGCACACTGGTTATCCACTATGTCCATACTGGTTATCCAACAAGTTAATAATGGTTATCCAGCTGTGTGTAACTGGTTATCCCTAGTGCCAACACTGGTTATCCACATGGTGAACACTGTTTATCCACACGCTCTTAAAAAAAGAAAAAAAAGAAAAAGAAGGATGAATTATCTAGCGAACTCACACTATTTTAAGAGAGTAAATTACACGCGTAGTGGGGTATACGGTGCCCCAGGGTGTACCAGATAATTTGCCGTTTTCAATCGTACATGTGGCGTAAAGTTAGATAGGCTAATTTACGTGGCGCAAAAATGGCCAAGTCCACATGTCGCAACCACATCGCTCCATCATTTGATGGTAATTTTTTAATGTAAAATTATAATTTATAGATAAAACTAAATTAATTAGAAGATTTTTCCTTAACGGTAAATTTTACATCTTTATTTACTTTATTAGCCTTTGTAAAATAATACTATTTTTTATGTGACCCCCATATTATGATTAATTGACTATTCTGAATTATAGTCTCTTTTAAAAATTTTCATCCCAATGATTAGAGTTTAAAGATCAACGTCCTACAAATTTACAAAAAATCATCCAATTTGACGTGAAATCCAAATTACTAGATAACCATAAAAAATGTGCAGTTATCTTTTATTGAGATTAGAGTAAACTCTATATCATGGCACAATAATGAATGGTTATATATTGCTAAATACAAATGGAACAAATATAAAGTAGATATCGTTTTACAATATTTTAAGAAAAAGATATCACTCCAATGAATGTTTACTTTGGAGTCTTTTTTATTTTTATTACAAATTTTCACAGACCATAAGAAAATTACACAAATTACCAATTTTTGGAACAAATAGAATAAATGGGTATTTTTATTATTAATAAATAAACAAATCGATTATATTAAAAGAGAGTTTCCTATTGAACACATGACGTAAAATGAGGAAGGGTGATTCACATGACAAAAAAATAGATAACTAATTTTATTCGGTAAATCAAGAGCAAGTTAAACAATTTATAATTTAAATTATTCTCTGACACGCTCTTCATATATAGCAAACCTATTCGGATATTGATCAGGGATGCTGCCGTTGATAATGGTGAAGGCTAGCAGATGAAGTGAAAGGAGAGGAGACAGTGGCTAAACTTCTAAAGAGTTATTGGGTCGACATCTTTTTTTTTTCTTTTAAGCAAAAGGAAAGAGAGACTTGCGAAACGTTGAGCTGAGAGGCACAATAATACACTGAGAGGGTATACCTCTAAAATGAATATTGTAACCCCCCAACACAAAGCCCAAAGAATCTCCATATTATTTAAAGATAGAAGAGCTAGTAGTGCCTAAGACTTACCAGGATACAGAAATATGTAGAGATATAATAAAGTCTTACTGGTCAATCAGACTAGGCGTCTATTGGTTGGAACATAGAAAGAGCAAAAAAGTACCAAATTTGTATTAAGCAAGGGTTTTTAATTATTATTATTATTGTTTTCATCAATTACTACTGCTTGTGATGTTGTGTTCAAGCTCAATTGGCCGAAACGGAATATCTGCACGGTCCCTTTCACTATTCCTTCGTTTTATTTATTGTTATATAAAAGATGTGAACGGGAGCAGTATGTAAAATTAAGAGTATACTTCTAATAGAATATCTAAAGTCGTAAATCAACAAACCGAAAAAGATGAACAACAAGTTACATTGGATAATTTAGAATATTGAAAATTATTCAAAATAACAAAATGCGTTGACGTTAAAAATTACACAATTTCAAATTACATCAGTAAATTATTTTGTTTTTATATATATCACTTCGTAAAAATGTCATACAATCGTTAAATCATTAAGCTCATATATGTCTTCAATAACCCGCACAATGTGCGGGGTAAACACTAGTATATATTAAAGCAGAGTTCTTAATCGACACGTGTCGCCCAGGGGGCAAGTTTAGCCACTTGTGCCAGCTGTCGTCACTAAAATTCTCCTTTATTAAATAGTTAAAAGTTTATTACTAATACGTGAAATTATTAAATTGAATTAAATTTAACCAATAGTTAATTTTAGAAAAAACAACACGTCTTTGATAATTATTGACAAATATATGACATAAGGAAACAGTAATCATCAAATTAATAATTATATTAAGAATACAGTTTGAGATTAAGTCTGGATACATTAAACGTAAGTTAATAATTATTTTTCAGATGATTTTGTTTGATATAATTTCCAAAAATAAAAAAAATTATTTACCAAAAAAAATTGTTACCAAATAACTATATTACAAATGTAATTCGAAATCAAGTCTACCTACATTACAAGTATGTTAATATTAATTTCTTAGATGATTGGTATATTTTGCATAAATAAAAAGAGACTACTTACCAAAACGAAAAGATTATTTACCAAATAATTATACGAGTACAATTCAAAAACTAAGCCTGAATACATTAAACATAAGTTGATAATACTTTTCTGCTGATTTTATTTGATATATTTTCCAAAAATAAAAATATTTGTGTTACCAATGTAACGCCCCAACTAGACCTCCGTGCTTATAGCGAAGGAATCATAGTCAAAACGCCCGCCTAGCTCTCGCTAGGTCTCGGTAAAACAGTCCACAGGTAATCAAGAGCAATAACTTAAGACCTTGCCAAGTCAAAGTTATAATTGATATTTTGTATAGGATTTATTACATGTATATCTTACAACATATTGAAGAACAATGTTCTCCATTTTTGCAACTAACAAAAGTCTGTAGAACTAAAATACAACTAAACCCGATCATCTTCATGAATGCTAGGCTTTCTGAAGCGTGTTAACAAAGTAATCTGGCATTTCTACTCCTGGAGTATAAAAAAGTATACGTTTGATGAGCGTACGCTCAACGAGGTCTCACCGGTAATCTATTAATAATCTAGGTGACCACATAGTCAAACGAGTTATCATAGAAAATCACATAATATAAAGTAAAGTTACTATAACTAGTTCACCGAAAAATATTATAAATCAAAGGATAAAGAGTGGCTACCATTAGCCAAGTACATATACGCATAGTAGCACATTAGTGGTGGATACGGGTGAGAGTAGTTAGAAGTCTGATCCTGCCTATGTGGCTTATGGAATGAACTTCTAATTCATCTCAAACTCGTAACGAGATCACAATAAAGAACGAAGTTATGCATCGACAACCATCGCCCAGAACGATAATGATAGTGGTATATCTTGAGATAACCAACCTCCTAGTAGTAATATCCAGTACGTCCTGGCCCTATGCCGACACGTAAGGATTTACCTTGAACTAGAAGGGTGCATAGATCCATGACTAACCATTGATAGCATGCACACGTTCAAGCAAGACTCAATGTACACGTACGATACTCAGTTTACATTGTACAGCACATGTGATAGAGTACACATGGCCGCAAGCAAGGTCAAGCCATAAAGGTCAAACATCAGGCGTAGTTACAATAAGCAAATCATCTGTCGAGTCAGAGATCGACAGTATCTATTCAAGTTATTCAATTACCCGGCGTGATAAAATACACACATGGGACAAACATGATATGCAACATTTTCAATCAAGATTGACTGAACAAACAGTAGACATGCATTCTGGTTTCATGCAATTATCCTAATTAATTATCATGCAATTATATTTATATATACAGTGAGATTACTCACAGATATTATAAGACATCTTCTTGACTCCAAACACTCGATCTGCAAGTTCTTCAGAGATAATGTAAGAATCCTATAACATAGAAAAATATGAATTCCGGTTTATAGTTAATGATCATTATAAAATTGATTAGAAGTTATGCCACTGCTAACGAACTCATATTATGTTTTAAGCACAACTTTTGTTATTGTTATTGTTACACATATACAAGTCAGATTAGATTTCATTGATTTCATTAGTGCTTTACTCACCATTTTACTTTATTACCTACTAACTAAAAAAGACTGTCTTACTGTTTTGAATATATATTAAGGTTAATAATAGGTTTATAACCAGAGATTAATGCCTTGATCCCTATGCATTCCAATGCGCTAACGTAGATCGCTACTTGTTACATTCTTGACTCTCCATTATTAGCTTTGGCAGTTCTAGTTCTATTGTTTTTTTTGTAAGCAAATCAAACCTAATATTGTACTACCTAATATTGGTGGAATTCGCAGGAGGAAGTGTACCTCCAAACCACCAAACTAATTGATTACATTTGGTGCATCAACTAACAGAAATTCTAGTTACTTGTTAGTTTATAAAATAAGTGGTACCCGGCCTAACTCTAGTATAACAACTAGTTTTCCCCTTTATAATTATCGTAGGAACCAGAACCCCT